ATATATACGATTGTAGGTTGCAAAGGCACAAACGTACTCACAGGGAAGGAAAGTCTTCGATTTCAGTATTCCATATCCGCCAATATCTATCATCTCTTAGTTTTACTTCTCTGGCAGTATACCTATACCCATACTGTATACCTATATATGAGGGCTGCACCAGCCTATTCGTATGTATACGTAGATATGAGCACGTAGCGAATGAGAATCGCGCGTAAAATAATTCAACTCTCTTTACAAATTTGATCGCTAGAGTCCACAGTGGCGCTGCCATCGTAATTTAATGAGTTTGAAATTTAACGATCAACGGAACTTGAAAATCCCAAACTTAAATTAGACGAGTGAAACGGGGGTAGTTTCTTGACGGACTCCGCGTGTCAAAATGTATTAGGGTGGTGACGTGAAGGGGTTGAGGTATAGAGAATAGCCCTGGGCTAAGGGCGTGTCTGTCAGCGGATCCGAAAACGTGAGAAATCCACTAGGACAAAGTGCGACACGACAATCCCCCAGGAAGTGCTAATGGTCTTTTTCGCGGACGGCTATCAGCCGCCACTTGCACGTAGTGGGTGGGCATGCTTGGCATAAAACGGTTGAGCGTGGATGGGTGTGTACTAGGAGTGAAAAACAATTAATCTTCGAAGAAAACCACGAAATAAATTCACGTCTGGCTCTTGAGGGTGTGAGGAATTTATTTATTTTCCTGGGGACAAGTTGGAGTTATCCGACCATTTATGTATATAGCTATCTACCGCACCGAAGGGTGGGATAGTATGGTTATCCGTTTTTAAGCACTGATATACGTGTTTGGGATATACACAAATTAAGGATAACAAATAGTGCATTCTGTACAACATTTGTGATCGAATCTATAAAAGAAACAATACATGAAAAAGTGTATACTTTATGTGGTTTGACATTTGATCGATATACTGATGTACGACTAGAATATATAGAATGGGTATATCCTTGGATATACATATGTATACATGGAGTTTGTTATAAACCCGCCTGAGTGAGCATTAATATTCTATAATACAAAAATAGATAGAGTTTGCCTTGTTTAGGCCTGTTTTCCTCTCTTGATCTGACAGATAAGATAATGCTCTATCTCTTTATTATGAGGAGGTCGGAAGGTCCCGTAACGTAGGTAGGATGGTTAGGATGATAGCACAGTACATTTATATTAATATTACATATCACGCGTTCTGTGCTGTTCTTGCGCATACGCGTGGCAAAGATAAAGTCTAATGTGGGATAGAATATAACATAACTATGTACGTTACAAATATAATTAAGTCGGAACCTCTGTACATAAAATGGGACTAATGTAAACTGAGTTAAATATAGTAGGTATAGAACAACGCACGAGTATCATTTAGTTACGGAAGCGAAGGACAGATGGCGCTGGTAGTACTTGTTTCTCGAACGAAAACGTTCCCCCAGATGTTTTAAGTATCTGCGAGTGAGTGACCAAAGCATACTTACCTGGCGCAGAGGTTACCGTGATCAAGAAGGCGGTTCCTCCAGGGTGAGGCTCTTCCATTGCACTACGGTTGAGCTGACCCTTGCGAATATCCCTAATGTGGATATCTCGGGCGTAAAATTTTTGGTAGTCGGGACTGCGTTCGCGCTATCCCGGACATAATATAAGTTTCAAACATAAATACTTACATTTTTATTATAGCACATTATAAAATCTGTATAACAATTATATTTTTGTTATATCTTTAGGTATCATCGCATTCGCATACAGCATTATAGTAAAAATTGTTCTTGCATAATCGCCAGTAAAAATAATATACATGTTTACAAGATTCATACTGGGCGCTTATATCTGAAAAGAAGTACGTATGTGTTGAATATGTACGCAAAATTGTTTGAAAAAAATTCTGAATGAATGACTAAGCGTCAAGCTAAAATTGATAAGGGATAGCAAATCCCATATGTAGATGGTACAGGAGAAGAGCAAGAGAAGAAGCGTTTGAAGGCAACATTATTCATTTTACAACTGACGCATGTTCCTCGAGGCAAACCTGTGCTTCAATATTTTAAAAATGTTTAGAATAAATGCAAAGCAAAATGTGTTGATTTTACTTAACATTCGTACATGGGGAAACTCGTATATAAATGCAAGAATAGAAGTTTGGTAAGGAATTTTCCCCTAAAATAACTCTAGATAATGTACTGCATTGAATTATTTATTTCACTGCATTGAGATATATTAAATCGAGAGTATAGCTGTTATTTTATTATCCACATTGAGTCTCATCATTCAGATGGAGAGTAACCGCAGCAGGCATGTGTGTGAAGTGACATGCGGTTGAGGTCATACGGCACATCGGTGTAATTAACTCATCAGCGCGGCAACAGATGGCGCGACAAGCGTTTGTATCTCGCAGTCAAAGTGTAGTACTGAGAGTTGAAGAAGGCAACCAACACGGCTCAAAGCATACTTACCTGGCGCAGAGGTTACCGTGATCAGGAAGGCGGTTCCTCCAGGGTGAGGCTCTTCCATTGCACCACGGTCGAGCTGACCCTTGCGAATATCCCTAATGTGGATATCTCGGGCGTATAATTTTTGGTAGTCGGGACTGCGTTCGCGCTATCCCGGATAATAGAATTTAAACAAGATCATTTTTATAGCAAGTATCAGACATCTAGATTGACAAAGAAATGTTCATAATTTTTTATGACCATCGTTTATTTCTGGATGTTGAAAGATCCCTCGTCACTAAAAATTATTTGCTTTTATTTAACATAATTTGGACTCGACTTTGTGACAAGGCCCCGCCCCCCCACTGCACTCTTCTAGTATAATAATTTTTCATTTGGGTGTTTAACTGAAATTAAAATTCAGCTTGATTCATGAACTAAACATGGATTTGCCTAGAATGTAAAACTATATATATGCGATACTCATACGCGATACTCACATTTTATTCGATTCGAATACATGTTTGATGTAATGGCTAATATTTAATGAAAACTACTAGTCTAACTATTGCAATATCACTTCTTGACTGGTATAATTATAGCACATAATATGATAAAGTTTTCCCATGTTATAATCGAGAGGATTGATTTATCATAAGTACCAAAAAAAAATTATTAATGTTGGACCGCGTCTGATACATTATAACCTCCAAGGAGAATAGAACTGAAAATCGTTAATAAAAGTAAATAGTGTAAAAGTATCGAACTACTGAATAACTATATAATAAATATTAACCCGTCGTCATTTTTATCGTCCAACTGTCACTGCAGCGTCGTTCTATGGGTTGAGTCGTGTCACATGAGAAAAACGCTGACAGCGCCAGCAAAACCGCGTCAAGACCATAATATGTTAATATATTTCAAATATATTAATTTCTTCTACCTTAAGAAAAAATAGTAAGAAAAGTGATTCATTTCCAAAAAGATTATCAATCATTCTGATCTTAGCCAATGTTATTCACTCTAGAAACAGTTTTACTGGGGTAGAATTTCAGTTTCCCTGACAGTAGTTCGACAATCTGAAGCTAGGGTGCGCCGAGGGTGAATTTCTCGAAGTTAAAGTTCTACTCCGTAATCCTTAAAGAGGGTTGCGATCGGTGACAAAGCATACTTACCTGGCGCAGAGGTTACCGTGATCAACAAGGCGGTTCCTCCAGGATGAGGCTCTTCCATTGCACTACGGTTGAGCTGAACCTTGCGAATATCCCTAATGTGGATATCTCGGGCGTATAATTTTTGGTAGTCGGGACTGCGTTCGCGCTATCCCGAACCACAATAATAATTCAAACACAAAAGTTTCGTTCCTTCTCCTGTTTCCGATTTCTTTTACGTCATGACCAAGAGTTTTGCCTTCTCATGATTCATTGACTTTTTTTAAAACATATCTGACTTTAGCTACAAGCAAGCAGCCGCCGCCCCCTCTGTCCAATTCTTTCCCCCACCTTTTTGGGTATATCGATACTATTTTACACAGTAACGAATTGTTGTCCCTCAAACTGATGAAATTATAAAAAGTAGATTTACTCCATTTTTATGTAATTGTATTTGACTGAACCTATTATCATCAATCTCCATGATCTCATCCCTAGTGGCATCGCCGGAGACATTATCAAAAAGCGGAAACACGTTCCTCTCCCAATGCCAAATACAATTTCGGGAGAAAGTTAGTGCATTGATCATCTACCGAGAAATTCGTTTTACGTTTACGGGGTTGGAATCCTGCGGGACGCCATTCGCGAAACAACGGGGCACCCTCTCTTCTGTTTAAATTAACTTCCCTCGTTCCATTTTACGCCTCTCGTTCTATCTCTCTTTCACTCGCACTCACACTCTGGGCCTTTTTTCTCTTTTGTGCGAGACGCTTCAGTGAGAGCAATCGCCGTTATTTTATCGACCAGTCTGCAGCCTGCTTGGTTCCATATCGAGGCGTTAAATCCTCGAATAAAGAGCCGTCGATCCTGTGCTATTCGACATTCAGTAACTGCAATTAATAATCGTCGAAGCGGCGACTGTGTCACAAGCACGGCTCGCTACAGCTCGAATACACTTCGGCCGTTTTGTGACAGCGGACTATATACAGACAATTTTAACGTCCCTCGCGTTGAAAACGAGGGTGAACAACCCTATTGAGCATGGTGAATTTTTCAGTTACATTGAGCACGTGATTTATTGATGCCTGGATATAAATATTCCCGGCCTTAATTAAAGAGAAAATTTATAAATTGTAAAGAATATAAAGCACATTTATGCATTCTAATCTATAAAAAGTTACTAAACCCTTTATTGTATATAGTCCGTAGAATCGCGCGAGAATCACCGCTAAGCTTCATGGTAGATATAACATAGACGTAAGCGTTCAGTAATGGCTATTTGACCGTTATCAAGAGAGACTACGCATCCTCCACCTGTAAGCTGGGATAAGTGTATATTTATATACATATATGTATATATAAATACTTAAAGGAGAATTACTCGTAGAGAATTTTGGGACATGCGCCTAGCTATGTTTTACCGCTGTGTTACAGGCGGCAAACACGATCCGCTTTAGTACGTTCACAGCCGCTCAAACGTGCGGACCGTCGCGAGACGTGCGGCAAAGACAGTAATAAAAATTCGGTTAAAGTTTTCAGAGTGGAAGACGAATAATAAAGATTAAGAAGCATACCTGCTGTGGCATATGGTGAAGTTGAACGATATTTCTAATCAGCTTAATGTGCATCCTGACACTACCATAGTTTCTATCGCTCATGAAATCATCCGATGGAAGATTTAACGACCAATATTGCGTACGGGGATAAAGAAACTTTCCATTCGACGCCGAGTGAAACTTCCGTTTTAGTTTATTGTGTTATCTTCAGGAAAGTTTGAATCGACAAGACTATTCGCTTGTGAGAAACTTGGCACGAAATGCGATTCAGGTCCGTTTTAACCTTTCTAGAGGACATGAAATCGTAAACAAAATATGATGGTACGACAAAGTGACGACGAAACTAAATGTTGTCAGCTGCATTACTAATAGTGAAAGTGAACAATGACAGTGACGTCAACAATTACTGACAGCTTGAGTGACAATCGTGCACATCATTGCCAGTGCGAAATGGAATCGTCCTGGGTTGCTCGTTAATAAAGAAATTTTTGAAAAACGGTGTCGTACTAAGATAACGGCGATCGACCACAATGAAATCAATCGCTGTTATAATACTAATGGCGACTATCGTGGTCCCCACTCGCGCCGGAAGTTGTAAACTCGCAAAAATGTGCTGTCAGGGTCGCGATTCTGCTTGCGTTATACAAAAAGTATCTCCTAATGCTATCATCGAGGGACCACAGGACAAGCCGTGCTACTGCGATCATGCGTGTCTAAAACTCGGCGATTGCTGCGACGACTTTAAGGTGGCTTGTGGTGGTAAGCATGAAATTTGTCAAAGAACCGTCTAACGGAATTTTACTTTTAGTTTGCGGAGTTCTGAGGACCTTAAGCTTGCGTCATTCTCGTTTTCGTTCGCTCGATGAAAAATAATAATTCTCTATCCGTGACGTAGATTTTTTTTGAATTGACAATGGCATTTTGAGAAAGTCAGATTTAGATAGTACATAAAAAAGTTAAAGATTTGACACAAAATTTCGTATACTATTCTTTGTTTTTTTTTTGTAAAAAGTCATATCTCCTGTAGTCTGTACGAAAAAATCACTGGGCCTCTTGGTGTCCCTCTCGGAATGTCTTACGATCAATCAGAGTCCACACGACCGGAAATATACGAGCCTTGAGGAACATGCAAAGGTATTCTTATATACGCAAGTGCATTAAGTCCGAGTAGTCAGGTTTGGTAGGAAATTATGGTTCTTGCAAATGGACCGGAAACGTGCCACTCGGAATAGCTTCGTGTCCCTGACGGAAACGGATAGGCACCCTTACCATGTACCTTAACATCCTCTCAGATACAGTATGGTGTCCGGAAACAAGAGAGTGGCGTGTTTCTAGAGCTATTCTGGCATTTATTTCCGTTGGTAAACCTGATATCTACTTACATGCCTTCCGCAAAGATGCCTTTGAAGTTGCCAGAGTGACAATTTGGTTTAATTTTTTGGCTTACCGTTTCTCTTTTTTCTTTCCCTTAGTCGTTTCAAACACTTTCGCTCTCACGTTTCGCATTTACCTAGTCGAAATGAAGTGCACACCCGAAATTGCACTTGACTCTCACACTTTAATATTTACGTATGCACGTGAAATTTCGGCTTTACACGAAAATTCTTTTCGTCATAAAAGTGCACTCGGTTTTGCATGTTCAGAGAACCGCAAACTAACCACTTCCCGTACGACGCTTTAAGACGGAAAAGCAAGTCGGCCACTTTTCCAGGTCGATGAAAAATTCGTATCGAACGACTGATTTCTACCGGAAATCGGACGTTTCGCGGCAGGAAATGGTTGGAGATTCAGACTGGTTGTTATGAAGCATTGACGTCAGAGAGGATTCCACGAAAATGAGAAAGCTTCTTAAAAGCATTGAGGAATATTATTTTTCTTGCTTTTTGAAACGAATAATTAAAGAAGCGAAATAAAAAAAAATGATTCAAGCCAGTTTTTCCATCTTACTACTACATCCAACAAAAATAAAAGTATACACGTAACTTTACCAAGAAGACATTCATCACTTGGAAAATGTAATACTGGGCATTTTTCTCGTCCAGACGGAAGTCCGCTAGGTACTTTTTGTTTTCGTATTAAAAGGGGGAACAAGACACACGAGAAAAGTAACCAAAGCGAATAAGGGCCTGCAAGAATGGTGGAAAGACAAATTGAAGCAGCAAAAGAAATCGACTAGCGATTTCACGTATCGACCCCACCTGCCGAACATCATTCGTCACGTGAACCAAGTGCGACATGATATAGAAAGATCTCGTCTGAGGAAGAAATTCAAAGTCCCTAAGGATTTCGCCGTGTATCCCCAATTCAAACAAGATGGTGGATCCCGACGGTTATTCTGTTTCAAGAACATTCCAGAAACTGCTGGAAAGTTTGTTCAAAGTGACACTAGTCAAGGAACTGGCATCCCTCGTATACCCAACATCGATAGTTTTAACAAAGCCATTAGTTTGTACTAGTTTCGTGTTGTTGTATACTCTAACGAACTAACCCAACTGATAAACACTGCATACATATACGTATAGCATAGAGTTGGACGGTATGAACCTTCTATATTGCACGGTATGAACGATTGTCCTGGCTATGCCACGCCATTCGATTGAATACACGCTCTATATATTTCCCTTTAGAATCCATTGTGATATATGAGACAATATGTACGAAGCATTATCTATATATACATGTTAACGCAGAAAAAGAGGCATGAAGTGAAGCAAGATCGGACAATAAAAGCTTCGAAGATACGTTCAAGTCAGTCGTTGTTTTTGTCAAGGAACAAAGGCTGTAACGAAGCTTGCAATTAAGAGTTCTTCTGGAAAAATGTCAGAAGGAGGCGGTACCGAATATACACAGACATTTCTTTCAACGTATACCAGGTATACGGATATATTTTGTAGGATTCAGTTACTTATGTTAGTAGCATTATAGTAAAGGATAACACAGACAAGGAAATGAAGAATTCTATAATTGATTGTAGGTAAGAAAAATTCTGAAGAAAATTGTAGGCTGTGATAAATTCTCACATATCTTTGTACACCCTGTATAAAAGCAGAGCGTTATCAGTACAGTGGTTGGTACCCAGGTGAATTGTTGTTGTTTAAGAAATCCTTTGTTCTGGAGACTCGTGTTTTTCTTTTTCTAATGGAACGTGACGCGAATTTCTCAAATAACTTTTACTCTTTCTTTTCTCTATGCACAGTGACGGATTGTTCAGTTAGCGAATGGGGTCCTTGGTCCCGATGCGAAGGAACATGCGGCACTGGAATTCAGAGCAGATCCCGGCGAATTTACAGGGCTGATCGAAATGGCGGAAAACATTGTCCACAATTGGAACAATCAAGAACATGTCGCAGTCACGATGCCTGCGCGAGACGTGATCACGTATCGCACGTGAGAGGTGAGGAAACTATGGATTTTTACCAAATTTTTCTTTTTTTTTTTTTTTTAATTTGCCCTTCATCTTTCTTTATCCCTTTCTAACCCTTTATTCTTCGACTCGGCATTTCTCTTGTAGTTTTTCTTACTTTTTTTTTCTTTTTTTTTTTTCTTTGCCATTTCCAGATAAGCTTGCCTGGTCAGCTTTGTACAATCGGCAAGCTTTACACAGGCACCTCTTATCATTTTCAGAAACTACCCTTATCGTACCTGCTGCGTCAGAAAGCTACCACGAGAATGCAACCGATAAAGTGTCACAGGGGTGAGTTGAATTTTTTCAATTTTTATAAAATAAATATTACTTACTAAGGAAAGGCTGAATTTGATCTTATGAAATATAGATTGAGAGGTAAGTTCGGTCTGCCGGCATCGTCAGTAAATATGATCAGTTTGTCCACAAAGTACTGAAACTCCAAAACTTTCTCGGACGCCAGCTACGGCTTTTTCGTACCACTGATGTTCTTCGTAGCCACTATTTCAAATGTCCATTGCTCGATCTCAGTTAACTGACAGGGATAGAAGGGAATGCGGATACTATAAGAGAGATATCTGGATTCGTCAGAAGGTCTCAAAATGACAGCCCAGCGGGCACTGTGCTGCCTCGTTCGTTACAATACTGTAAGCAAAGCATTTTACAATGCAAATTCCGGCGTGTAGATACTGCTATACATGTATATCTCAACGGTGGCTCATGGCGAACTGGTGTCCTGACACCCTTCCGTCGGGAACGCGGACCGGCGCTGGTCAGAGTTCCCAGCCAACCGGAAACGGGCTACGGCGATCGAGCACTTCATCGGCGAGAGTTTTTATCCTAAATTTTGCCTCCTGCCTCGATGGCTGGTTCGGTAGTTTGGACCTGCTCCCGGGAACCGAACCTATACTACATACCCTTAAAAAAAAAGGCAGAAGCAACCAATCCCATTGGCGACGACGGGTAGAGATGAGGGTGTGTAACGGGTCGTTCCAAAAGGCCAGGCTACAAAATACACGTACAATTCCACTGCAGAAAAAGTCAGTCAATATAAATACATAGAACATCCACACATCTGCTCTAGCGATATATCCCACTCTGTAAAAAGTTTTCTGCTATCTCAATAGTTTTCCACCATACAACCAGGCAGACAACTCGCCGTCCCGTGTTGCTGCTCCTCAGTCTTCTATCTCGTATAGCCAGACTGTGTATATTGAGAAAGTTTCTCGAAGCTGTCAAGTTTACGAAACGATAGAAACCGGCTAAGGTCCCGTGAGATTGTTCAAGGCCTCGCTCGAAATTATCTCAAAATTAGACCATTGATAATTCCATTCGCCAAAGTGACACGCGGTTTGACACGGTTGACACAGTTAACTTCTGCGGCGTAGTGTGCGCGCACAGACTATATCCCACAGTTCACACACACGTACGTTTCTCGCGGTTTCTCACCGCGAACAATGTCTCTTTCGAGGGTATAAAGTACATAGAACCCCATTAAGGAGTGAACGCGGCGCGGCACTAGCGTCGGTAAATTAGTTTCCTACAATAACGACAGAGAATACTCATTTTCCCAACCAGGTATATCACACGTCTAATACATCTTTTATCTATGTATTGTGGCACATGAAGCTCGCCTATCGACATAACTAATAGGTTCTTGATATATGGATAGACAGAACGCTATTAATTAACCTATACATGCTGATACAATATAATCGACTTATACCGCACCGGTACCTCGATGCACCGGCAGGTACCGATTGCTCATGTTGGATCATTGCTTCGAGTAAATGGCTACGGTATATCCCAATAGGCGGGTCATAGTTCGCATAACAATGACTCAATTAACGTTGTATCTAGGGCACCTGTTCGGTACACGTTCAGGTTTGGCTCGAGAATCGTTTCCATCTTCGTAAAGAACTTCCTTACGGATGGATGTTGCCATGCGAGCCATGTTGAGGGAGTTTAGAGACTTTTGAAAAGACTTCCGCACTGGACTCTCTTTAACTTTTAGTAGGGCGCCCAGTCGGGATTGAAACTACAGAATAGCAGTATATGGATGTTCCACAGAGAGAGAGAGAGAGAGAGTGGTTGGGGGGGTAGGGGGGCAGGGAAGAGAAAGAGGAAAAATGTTCGGATACGTCAATAACTTGTATACAGTTTATGTAACCCTTATGGGTAACCTTGACGTACCCCGTAGTAAATGATATGGAAAGCACTTTACGTGAGAAGATGCGAAATGAGCCGAGAGCACTGATAATTCAAAGCATTTTTCTCATGGAGAATTGTCCGGGTTAACGAGGTACCATTTTAAAAGCTTAATGTATATTTTACACACATATACCGTGGTTCTCTGATATATCTTTCGAGTGATGTAGAAATCCGTCGATACGAATTCAATAGTTTATTAAGAACTTATGCTCGATAAATCGTAGCTGCGCAAACTCATCTGCGCAGCCTATGGCGGAACCTGCGAGCTACGCATATAGTGCCTGTCGTAAAGCCTCAAGTTCCTCGTAAAGATAATGTCGAGCGCTGGCAAACGTTTCTGGATACACAGGGTTACGTACAGCTGGAATGTCAGATTGCTTATTTTCGCATCGTAAAACGACAAAGTTCCTTACGAACGTTATTCATTTAACGTACGTAAAACGTGAAATACGTAACGCACGTGCGTGCGCAAAGTTACGTCGGGATCCTCGAGGGAGTCTGCTCGCTCTGCTGTATACAGCTTTTATGGACATTGAAAAGCTTGCGCGCCACATTGCCAGAGGCTGCAGAATAATAATGGCCGCTTCCGGCCGACCATAATCGTTCTACTCGATGCCTTTCAGATATTGCGCGGTCTTCACGATCCTACGAGCATCGAGACTCTGCGCTAAGGACGGCTCGTTCGAGGGGTTGACCGAGGGTAAGTGGTTTTTTGACTCTATTATTCTATTCAACAAGCTTTTTGTTTACTCTCTCTCTCTCTCTCTCTCTCTCTCTCTCTCTCTCTCTCTCGAGTTAGAAAAAAAAATTACAGAAGAAAAAACTTGGCTCACCGTCCACCAAGACGAATCAACGTATTCCCGGATCACCGTATATATCTAAGATCAAGGGTTGCTTGTTTGCTAACCAAGGGAGCGAGTACCTCGAGGCTCCAGGTCAAGAGGGACTATTTTCGGCAAACGAAACTTCGCCACGGGATCTCATTTGCTAGTAGCCATTAGCTACTTCTGATACTAATCGTATATAATCTGTAATACGATATATCGTGTTTATATATCTGTAATATAATTAGCAACATTTTTCCTGCCCCACCTCTCTGTCTCTCTCTCTCTCTCCCTCCCTCTCTCTCTCTCTCTCTCTCCTTTTACCCCTAATATGACCTTTACGATCGTATCTGTACAGGCTCACGCGTCTGCGTACGTTGCGGAACACGTGAGTTCAATTCCCGCTGTCACGATCCTGGAAATCCTGTGGGATACGCAGGAGTTGGCAGATGGGAAGCAGGAGCCAACAACTCATTGACGGAACGACGCTGTCATGGGAAATGGATGCGCGGATCTAGAAACGAGTCGGACTGCAGCAGCGCGACGTGTCAACTTGGGATGCACTTTGCGTTCGTTTGAACGAACGTGAACACACTGTGCATCGTGCAGTACAATGCCGTCGTATGTTTGCGCAGTGGCTAAATTAAAGCACAGAAAGAATAGTAACGCGTGACGTAACTATAATAATCGTTTGAATAAATAACGAGCGTGCGTCACGTCGAATAAGGGACAGGGCTAATGCGAACTTTATGTAACAAGGAATCTCGCTGTAATAAAGGCTTAGACATATTATAGTGGATATACAGATATCTGTAAATTATACAATGAACATTACCTATGTACGATGTCGTTATACTATAATGCTCTGTAGTCTAGCTGTACCATGACAGTGTATGTATAGATATATAGCTAACGTAGTATATTTATCGTGCCTCGTGTAAGCACCAACCAGGTTGACCGGGCACTACTGGCCGTTACATAGACACTTTCAAAACTCACTAACCACATATCACTAATATGGTTACGTGTGATATATTATAGAAGCTGGCCGTTTATTATCTGTAACAAATAAAGAGTATACAATAAGTAGCGAGAAGATGTGAAAAGACCTTTAAAAATATCCTTTATATCGAACAAGAAAAATTCTTTATTTTACGCGCGGAAGGACCTACTGTTTTTTTTTTATTTCACGTGTTCTCGCAAAATTATCCCGTGTTATCATTGGCAATGCTCATTGAGCTGAGTAGTATTTGAGTTATGATAACGAAGTGGTAGAGGCGGGCTTGTCCACTCGATATTCTACCCCCAGTGAGATTTCTACATCTGTATGTACATACAATCCTTGTATGCAGGGTATACGTAGTCAGGTATATGGTGGATATGTAAAATGGCTACCTGACGCCTGACTATATGTAATACAAATGTACGAGGAGGTATGGTCCAGGTGGTGGTCAGGTCAGGTGTGGTCTTTTTGTCAGGTGGTCTTGAATTTTTATAAATTTTTTTTGTATTTTTTCCCCCCTCCATTTTTTACATACGCGTGAGCCGAGCCTCTCTCGAAAGTATCAGAAATACATTGGTCGTTAAAAAAAAGTGGGTTTCTGTTTGTTATCTGTTATAACAGCTATTGAGGGAAAGTCGACGCTTCAATACTTTGAATGGTTGTGAGGATTTATATGTGGCCTGTATATATACATATACATATATTGCACTCGCATTCGACTGCCGTGCATACTTTTAAATGAGTTACGGTATATGTGCATTATTACAGAGAGATAGAAAGAGACAGAGACATCTGGCGCCTGGGTGGACAGACTATTGTTTCGAATGAATAAATGCTCCTGCGATAATCCTTAAAAACGGATTAAGTTCTTTTGTCTCTTACTGCCGGTCGTGCAGTATTTATTTATTATTTCAATTCCAATGTAAAGTCCAATCCGAGAACGTCGGCAGGATCGGTAGTGAGAATATTCGTTTCGACGAGTCAAGCAGGATGTCGTGAATTGAGACTATTTCGTAGAGTGAAATTACAGAGGAATGATTACCTTTCTGAGAAGAATTACTTGAATTTAATTTAAATGCGCTCATGGTTCTTTTATCGGTATATAACTCTTTTGTCTTTGCTAATCAATACCTTTTTAGCTACCACGCGTTCCTCATTGTAATCTTCGAAGTTATTAGTGTCCTATTGATTTTCATGTTATTCTACCCCAGGGAACCACTGCTACGTCAAATGAATACGCTCGTTCTTTATCGGTTTCATTTTCTACGTTTGCGGAATGGCTAATGTTCTTCATGTGGTTACCAGATAAAGGTACGTACATACCGAAATGACAGTAAAGGAATTAGTTAAATAATTATTGCCAAAACATATTAGTTGTCGCTTAGAGATGAGATAAAGAAAATTTAGATAACTCGAAAAATCTTTTAAGTTCAAATACTGTTTTTCCTAATACAGTCAAATTCTGAGCGTCGACAAGGGTGGGATTGAGCTCCTCGGGCACTGTTTCGTCATCGGCTCCGTCCCCTTGAACAACGAGGTGCTGTTGCAACAGTGCCTAGAGGTCAGATGACATGGTTCCCGAAATATATAAAAGTGCCCGAAGTCAAAGTGTCCAGGTTCTGACTGTACAGAGAATCCATATCCTGTTTTTCGAAAGTATTTAGTTCAGATAGCTTACCAAACACAGGAAGTCTATTTGACCATTGTTTTTCAGAGAATTCACTCTTATCGTGGTTATCACAAAGCCACCATATCCGAAGTAAAAGTGTATAAAAGGAAAATCCACTCTCGTCTCAACCATAACGTTGTTATTCGTCGAGGCGAGCTGAGAACCTTCATTTTAATCGTGAAACGCATTTTTGTGTTTTAACTTTTTTTCAAAATGGCGAGCAACAATACCGGTGTTTTATACCTGTTCGATCGACCCGCGGAGCCGGTATACGTTCCAAAGGGCGATAACAAGGTTGCTTTTGATATACCGGCTAACTATCTGGTAAGTAACCTCAATCTTGTACACTTGAAACATCTGCACTTTGCTATACGATAATATTGTACTTCTGAAAACGGGTTTATTTTTCATAACAGCCCGATAGGTATCGGTCAGTAGCCACTGAGGTATTGAACAGATTCGGCGAAGATACACAATCGAAAATTCCTGTGAAGGAGATCAGTCTTCCGGATCTCAGCATCCCTTTGCAACTTGGTAGACGAGATCCATTCTCCCTTTTCATACCGGCGCATCGTAAAGTAGCGGCAAGGCTTATCGATATCTTCATGGGTCAGTATAGCCAGTAGCCAAATACAGTATGTTTGTATATCTATATGAGATTAAAAAAGGGGGGTAAACGGATGTAATAGAAATAAGAGAAAACTAATAGATACAAATCCCATATTGTGTATGTACAGGGATGAGAACGTACGAGGACTTTTTATCCGTTGCTGTATACTGTCGGGATCGTCTGAATCCAAATATGTTCATATACGCCTTGTCGGTCGCCATATTGCATCGACCTGACACAAAGAATTTGCCAGTTCCGCCACTCAGTGAAGTATTTCCGGATAAGTACGTGGACAGTGGAATTTTCGCGAGGGCTAAAGAGGAGGCTAACGTCGTTCCCGAAGGAGCACGTGTATGTCAATTAAATAATTTAATGATAATTAAATCAATATTTTACTGTATCGTATTGTTGCTTTTATTTTATATTAAAACAGCAACCCATAGAGATTCCAAGGGACTACACAGCATCCGATCTAGACGAGGAGCACAGAGTGGCTTACTGGAGGGAGGATATTGGTATTAATCTCCATCATTGGCATTGGCATTTGGTTTATCCATTCGAAGCTGACGTCAGCATTGTCAATAAGGACAGAAGAGGGGAATTGTTCTATTACATGCATCAGCAAATAATAGCCAGATACAATTGCGAACGTTTGGCCAATCACTTGAGCCGTGTCAAGCGTTTCATCAATTGGCGCGAATCGATTCCCGAGGGATATTTTCCAAAACTCGATTCCCTCGTAGCCAGCAGGACTTGGCCGGCGAGACCGAGTGGCTCATACCTTCACGACATAAACAGACCCGTGGATACATTGAGATTTGATATTCAAGACCTCGAGAGATGGCGCGATCGAATTTACGAAGCTATACATACCGGATACGTCATGAACAATAGAGGTGAACGAGTTCAGCTTACTGAAAAGGACGGAATCGATATTCTTGGGAACATCATGGAGGCCAGTATACTCACACCAAGCTCCAACCTTTACGGCGATCTTCATAACCTGGGTCACGTAGCCATATCGTACTGCCACGATCCGGATCATCGATATTTGGTAATTTTATTGATTACATTTAATTTTCTTATATAAGAAATAACGCGATCAATCATCTTCCACAGGAATCATTCAGCATCATGGGCGATTCTGCTACGGCAATGCGCGATCCGATATTCTACAGATGGCATGCCTTCGTCGATGACGTCTTCCAGGAGCATAAGAACACTCTTCCTGCGTATACTGTTGAGCAAGTATGTTTTCTGTGGGAAAATCATGCGCGGGTCGTAATACCTATATTTACAATGATTTGTCCGTCTAGCTAAATTTCCCTGGAGTCGCGATAACTGGCGTTCAGTTGGTCACGCCAAATCAGCCGGCTAACACATTGAACACCTACTGGAGTCAGAGTGACGTTGATCTGTCACGAGGACTGGACTTCACTCCACGTGGTGCGGTGCTGGCGAGATTTACTCATCTGAATCATTCAGGCTTCAGTTACAGGATCAGCGTGAACAATAGCAATTCTAGCGCGCTAATGGGAACAATGAGGATATTTATAGCGCCTAAGCAGGACGAGCGTGGACTTCCGTTCACGTTCCGAGATCAGAGACTCCTTATGATAGAAATGGATAAGTTCACAGTGACTTGTGAGCGATAAAATTTTTTTTATGTAATACGTACTTTTCTTTTATATAGTATAAGGAATTTTTCATTCTTACTCACAGTGAATCCTGGAAGTAATAACGTTGATAGAAAATCCACGGACTCCTCCGTGACTATTCCCTTCGAGAGGACTTTTCGTAATCTCGAGGACAGCCGACCAGTCGGTGGGGATGCACTGGAGCAATTTAATTTGTGTGGATGCGGATGGCCGCAGCATATGCTGGCTCCAAAAGGAAGCAAGGAAGGATTCCCTATGGATCTTTTTGTTATGATCTCGGATTATCGTGGTGACGTGGTACGTGAATATGCATAGTTTGTGGTTGTACAGTGCGCCACGTGTAGATTGTGGTTTCAAGGACTAAATTAATTACATTAAATTGGCTATGTTAGGTTCAGCAAAATGAGCCGGTGGGATGCACGGATGCTGCAAGCTTCTGCGGTTTGAGGGATCGCAAGTATCCCGATATCAGATCAATGGGATTCCCATTCGACCGAAGACCACGAGGCAATGTCGATACTCTGGCGCAATTCCTTACAGGAAATATGGCCGTCACGGATATTAGTGTTCGATTCACGGATTCCATCGTACCCAAAAGTCGTTCCGGTGGTTTTAGTAACTCCTTGATTCTGTCTTAAAGATTTTACAAAGTTACGTGATCTCAGGTGTAATTCGTTGAGATCTATAGAATTAATTATACGATATATAGTCATTAAGGTATTTGGCCGATTTATCTACAACCGTGCTTGTCCAATGGATATTGATTATTGATTTAACGTACTTTATTTATGCGTTATTGAAAAAGATGTGTAATTCTAGATAAATTTAATTAAATATAAAATACATAAGTAACGAGCAGCACGATTGTTTTTTTCTTTAACGCTCAATATTTTTTTCTGATAATCTTGGATATTACGTTAGGGAATTTTCTTCGTCCGGAATGTTTTTAACGTTTCTATAGGGGGTTTCTTATCTTGACAGGTTGTGTACGCGAATGGTCTCTTGTTCGTTCTCTAAAAGCTTCTGAAACTCCTTATAGTCCATTTGTAGCGTCAGTGGCTAGGTACAAAGTAGCTTTTAGGGATGGGAATCGACATTTACGTCACTGGACTTTGAGAATAATACCATTGTTGGAATTTTCAATCGCGCGACCGTGGATTCTGCAAGCCGGTAGAGAATTTGTCGGGTCTTAAAGGCCACCATGGATTTCGCCAATGGCAATTCCTTTGGAGAGCTTTGCTACCGATTTCCATAAAGGACCGATTTCACATTTCCATTTGATTATACAATTGAGGTAGCTAATCGCTCGGATGTTCCCTTGAGACGATGCTAATTCAAAAGCTACACCGAGGAGATGTTTGTTTAAGATTACAAAAAAAAACCAATTATAATTAGTCTTCAAGTATGTGGCAATATTTTATCAATAATATTTACTACGGCCTCATGACAGATTTTCATATTTTTCGAGTCAGATTTCATTTATTATATTTCCACTAAATTCGTATACGGATGTGTGTATAACTGATTTTTATCTAATTTCAAGTTCGAGTAACGCTAATTTAATTTTCAACAGGCGAGTACGATTAATTAAATTCGTATGGTTAACTGATCCGGTTTTCAAGCTTGAGGGGTGAATGAGTCACGGGCTGTTACGTAAATAGAATGTTTTAGTACTGAAAATGTAGGTACTCTAATAGTGTAAGGTGCAACGCCTCTATATCTATATACCGGTGTAACTATATATAAATATATATATAGCATACGTATATACTTTATGCTAGATGAAAAATCATGAATATATTTTTACGTAGAAAATGTACCCAACAAAATTGTATATATCGTAAATCGTGAATAAAATCGACAATAGCATTGAGCACAGGTAGTAATACCTGAAACGAAGTAAATAAGTAAACTCTGATACGATATGAGATAGCTGCCTTTACGAGAATAGCAGGTTCCTATTTACTTTGCGGAAGGAAGTAGATATTATTGTTAGAATTGAACAAAAGCAGAAGTTACTTCTATTCGTAAGTGACTACGAGTAGCATGCAAGTCGTTGGATATCGTACCTTAACGTTTTGCCTTTTCAAATGAAAATATATCCTTGACGTATTTCACTCGTTAGGTGTGCTCTTATCGTATTTTAATTCTTACAGAAATTCATTACCTCGGACTGCACTTCCTGTTCGGTAATCAACATCCGGAATCAATATTAAAAAAATAAAAAAATAGTATATCGAGACGTAAGGGTAATTCAAATTTGGACGTTTAATTAAAAGTGAAGAAAAAAAATGAATTTTTCAATATCTAAATAATTAACCGAACGATGCTAATTGGATGCGCTGACTCGATTCAAAGCATCTTTTTTCCCCTAGGTTATCTTAATTGGCGACAAAGGTGTTAGAATTCTGTACAAGGGGTGGGAATAACATTGACGTCGGTACGGTCGTCGTGTTCAGTTGGCAGAAGCTCGTTTGAAATTAATTTAACATTTAACCGAGTCCTTTGAACGTCACTCATTAGACCATCATACTGGAAAAAAAATTGTAGGAAAAGTCGCGGGAACGACCAAAGATTTAAACGTAATAAACTCGTTGCGAAACATCCCAGCTGTAAGAGCGTTTCTGAAGTATACACGTTTCTCGCCTTCGTAAATTAATTCTACATATTTTTTTCATTTCCATACTTTTTTTTAATACGTAATGACTCAACCAGACACTCGTTCGTTCGCAATTGATGATCTCGCTAATTGGATCACTTATAGCTACATCTATCTATCTAGCTGTACTTATAACGTGCAAGTTTCAGCCACTTACAGAACCGACTGAAAATTCCATCGAGTGATTAACGACAATAATTTCATCCCCATGATGTACGTCCGATGATTGATACTGGTAGCGATGAAATTTTCGTACTTTGCAATCGATTACGGATAACGATGCTCTTCTTTTACATATTAGAAAGACAGAGAAGACTTACCAGGTTAAAATGATTGTTACGAAAATTTTGAAATCAGCCTGTTTGCACGTGAAAAAATGTCGTTACCAAATTTTCATAGTAACGAAATTACTCTTGGAGGTGCCTCGATAAATTCAATGGTTATTGCCTGAAACTATGCAGACCCTAGTAACTTTTCCTATTAATATTAAATCGCTCGGACGGTTCCTTATTTGATGGAAAAAAACTTCAAGCTGCTCAGACACCACGCCACAATTTTTTTCCAGACGCTCAACCGATTCGAAAATTTTCAAAGTTGACTGAGAATTAGTTAATTTATTTATAAAAATCATTTTTATCAACATCAATTTGACGTCGGTTATCGGACGTTTTAATTTCAAACTGTTCAGACTATCACGTCTCGACTAATTCTCTAAGTTGACTTGGTAAAGTAACGGAAGCATTCATTAAGCAATTTGGGTAAAGCAGGGGTGCCACAGAGTGGTGAAATTAGTTGGTAACTTCCTTAGACACAGGTACAATTAGTTGGGTAATGCGTGTACTCTTGACACAGTATATGTATATATAGTCGAGTGAACTGAACTTTCACCCTAGTAACAAGAATTCTCTAGGAAAGTTATAACGCAGTAAAATATATGTTAAGGTAGTATGGTAGAATTTGGCTGAAGTCAAATCAATAGTAATATACAATTTTTTTAATTCCATAAAACGAATAGAAAAATGTATTACAAATACTAGCAAATAATAATTATTCCAATAAATGAGTCATAATGCTAGTTGAACGCGCAAATCCGCACTCTGATTTTTTCCCTAGCGCTTGCCGATAGGGAAAAGGGTACGTGAAAGAAAGAGACAGCCACATATTCTATGCCTTTCGTTTAATAGTGACTTTTTAATAAGTGTACGCTAACCGTCTTAGATATCAAGCTTTCTCGAAATATATTATAACGCGTATATCGACTTGCTAACTTTTGCGAAAATTAAAAACATCTGACTAAATACAATCGTTTTTCCCCCACGACTTTAATTTTGCCCAAGTTTAATGATTAGTACCTCTTTAACTAGACGGTAAACAAATTTTGTTTTGAACCCATAGACGTAGCTGATTGAGCTCATTCGATTAGGCATTAAAATATACAGGGTCAACTTTACATCATAATTCTACCATATTACGTGAAGAAGAAAAAATATTATTTCTGTTTTTACTTTCCTGTTATTTTCAGTGTCGTCACCATTGTCTTTTTCAAGAGAAATTTTTGTATTATTTTTATTTTATCTTCGCGATTCTCCTATCCCCCCTCTCTTTGCCTTTCTCTCTGTTCATCATATCCACTACAGGGTGTATTCTAGTCTCCATAGGAATATTCGATTTCATACATGACTGCGTATTGCGACTGTGCATCATTCAAACGACAACCCTGTTAGTATATTGTGAATTCGATACTGTATTTACTCGAGTCTACTGGTACGATATTTTCTGTGAAAATTCTCTGCGCTTTTGTACCGCACTGTTTAAGAGGTTTAAAAGGTGCAATTGATGTTTCAATAAAGAAACAAGCCAGACTGTCGAAAGTCACGATTCAGGAACGTTCTGTGTAAGTAGATTGGGCCTGGCAGTAGTCAGACTAGCAAATAAGTAAGGAAGAAAGTAAATAGTCAGACAAACAGACAGCAAGCTAGGTATTGGTGATTTATCAAGTCACGGGGAGAAGCTAAGGTTTCGTTCTAAGGCGAAGGAACCACAAGGATAAATCAAGTTTAACCGAACTTCCTTGGGGCAGATAGTATTAGATTCGATTAGAGGCCTGATGGCAATTACGTAAAATTGTATCAACCCAATTATTTATTCTTGTATGTATATTGATAATTTTAGGATCTAGAGTATATTTCACGATGCATATGTATGTATGTAGATATATGCATCTGAAACTGTATGGAAAATAGAAATAAGTTTATTCATATAATTTTTCATTGGGAAACTTAAATAAATCTTTATCGATGAAAACAAAAGGAATGGTTATGCAATGCTTACAGCGAAACCAGGTCGACTTCTTGGAGTTAGTGCAGCATCTTCATCCTCTTAAGATCAAAGGATCTCGGAACCTTCGATTTGGAACATACTCTACGTGACCTAGTAAGTACGGACGTGTATACCAAGCCACAATCGTATCATTTACCAAATGAAGCAGTCGTATCTAGGTGATGCATTTTGATCGGATGAAATCGTGGCTGCGAAGGTGCACTGTGGGAAGTGCAGTGTCTATAGCTGCAACGGAATTTCTTGCGAACGTCAAACAGGGAGATGAGGCGGAACGCACCAGCTTCGGGGTGCTTCGAGGGATTTTATGGCTCGTAAAATTGGAGAATCAAGCTGGTCGTCAAATTCGAAATTCTATAAGGGCTACAGAGGGAAAGTAGTTTTTGGCTGAGAAGTCCTGACGGATGCAAATTTTCGTCAGAGCAATACGTCCCTGCGCAAGATATTTATTATTTTTGCTATCACCTAAAAATTAGATTCCAAAAAAATTTGGAAAATTTTTTTTTTCTTGACTATAATTTTTCTCATACGAAATAGCCATAGGGTAACAATCAGCCTCGCCATAGGCTCCTGTCGTCTGGACAAGGAAGTCGTAGAAGGGCATTGTAAAATTTTAACAAATACTCATACATAAATCTTACCTTGGGCCGGGGTATTGAGTTCCAAGCAATGGAAGGGCTATTCGACATTGAAATACGTCGGCGATTTGTCAGTCGAGGCAGACCGGAAACACTGTCTCGAAACCGGAATTCGATTAGCTCTGTTATTTTATAATATTCACATTGGTCGCGTGTGATTCTGAATAATAAAAAATCATTGGAAATATAACCAATTGGTATACGACATTTTGTTACTGGTAATAAATAACGAAATTAAATTTTTTTTTGTATTTTATCTTTTTTCCCTCATTATTTTATTACCTACTATTTTTAATGGACTTTTATTTCAAACAACATTCCACTCTTCGATATTACTGTTAATGTAATACTGACCTGAAAATTTCCATTTTACGGATGAACTTTCGCAGCACGAGGGAGACGAAAGACCTTCGACTCGACGTTTCTACTTCGTTATTTAAGTTTCACGAGACTGGTGGGTAGTTTACGTAGTCACTAATAAGGTTGCTTTTCTTTACAAGAAACCCGTTACCGACAGTTCCCTATATCTTATCCGTAAATATCTTAACATTTTCATTCCTCTCTTCTTTACCCTCTTCATTTCTTTCCTTTTTTCACTCATTATTTTCATTCACTAAGAAATCAGACCGATCCCACTTACTCGTAAAGATCATTCCACCGTCTTCCTTAAACATTCTTACTTTATTAACTTCATCTACACTCAGTTTTAATTATCACAATAATTCTCGAGAAACTCTGTATTTTTATTACACCTTTTACGAGCACGAGTCCTTTTCTTGAAGTAAGATCATAAAAAAAGTATAATATAAAAGTCACCTGAGAAAAATGCCTTGAAATTGGCTTCCTAGGTTAGATTGTATGCACTATAGCAGAATACAGTATAAAGAACGTGTTGCTGGGCGAAACAGATTGCAAATGGAACAGGAAGGTAACGCGTCTCGTAGAAAATCTTTATGGTTTCCGCTTTGAATGTCGATTTTACCAGGCATTTCATGTGCGAATGCAGAGGACGTATTGCCATTCGATAAGAAAATGCATTCTGCCTTATACACGTATACCTCCGCCCAACCGTTCGATGTACCAATCATTTATTGTATATTTATACTCCATGCACATATGGTTATATACATATGGCTATATACATATGGCCTAGTCCCAACACCCTCGTACCATTCAACGCGGAGGCCATTTCATTTTCATGCACCGCATCCTTGCATTCACTGATGCAATCCAGCGCTCGCGCATATTGGCAATATTTGTGTAGCCACATCAAAGCCACTGCTGTTTCTATTGAAAGACTGACCATTACCCAAATGCCTTAATATTACCTTACTTTAAATTGGAAACAAGAGATTTTCCAATATCGACTGCGCTTTACGTATCTCTGAATGTACTTATAGAATATTATTATTTACCTACGTTTCTACGAGTGGAATTTCTGAATAGATTTATCGGAGCTATATATATAGCTATTCCAGACTATTGCACCATCTGAAGTTTTATGTGTTCATTTGATTTCTATTAAATCCTATGGTAGAACCATCATGCTGGTGCAATGCTTTTGAATTACCCTCTACGCAGTTACTTCAGTCCGAACGTACCAACGCAACATAGTTTTATTATAAGAATCGAATAAACGCAGCTAACTTCGGTTGGTGCGTTTGAACTGAATAACCTAATGTAGGTGTACATATGATAATGCACGAGACGCAGCAATTTGTTGTGAAATGTGAATTTTTAGGAAATGCGTCAGAAAATGTTGCCATGCTTTTATATAATACGAAGCTGAAACCTTCTGAATGGTATCGTCAAAGGATAGCATGTTAATTCAAATTGTGAAAGGCGGAAAAGCCCTCACGTAAAACGTGGTACATGACGGAGGAGCAGAAAACGGGGAGAATAACATCAATGGGATGGTGGCAGAGCTGTAAAATTGCACGGCACTGATGGAAGGTTTGTTAGGTAGGTAGGTAGGTAGATAGGAGACATTTGCATTTATATACAAGTCGCATGGAGTGGGATTATAAATTATTGCGAAGAACTCGGTTCTCGTGACAAATTTCGTGGCTAATGGTTCGCGGCATTGTATTTGTTATTCAATTCCATCCTGCTGCTTAGTATGACGTATCAAGTACATATATACGTACATACCATAGCTGACGTCATGGTGAAATTGTTTATTTATACTCCCAGTGAAAAAACAGGGATTTACGCTGTAGCATGAAAGTGGGAAAAAGTCACGTATCCACGTAGATGGTTTTAACGCGTGTAAGATGAAATTTCTTATTTTTCTTTCTTTTTCCTGTATTTTTTTGTTCTTGTTTGCTTGGAAATAGTGGCCTGTTTATTTATCGAAGACACTTTTATCGTTGAATAAATATGACGTGGCTCGCCAGTTCGGCGGGAAATGATTTAGCGTAGAAGAAGGGAGGAATTCAATCCCTTTTTCTGTCACTGTATCCGCATATCCGCAATTCCTTTTTTACAACGTTCTTTTCACTCTTCCCTTATTTCCATGGGTAAGACATGAATCGAAGGAGCGTTGTCGTGACTATTTTTGGAAATAATGAATTTTTCGAAAAAAAATAACTACCCTCCGGACATAGTGACTATATACTTCTGCAAGAGAAGGGCTTATGTACCACACCGGAAATGAAGGTTTTTGGGGTAGGGCGAGTTTTTATTTTTATTTTTTTGTAAATCCCAGTGGCGGCTCGCGTATAGGCACTGTGGAACTGCAGCACCCCCTAGATCAAACTTGAACTGTATTAATTTTGGTTAAAGTAAGTAAAATTTTTGATTTTGTTCTTTTAGGATTTTATCAAGTTTCTGAATAAATTTTCTTTTTAAACATATTTGCTTCCCCTAACACGATTTTAAAACAAAGGCTGAACATTTTCTGGAGCAGCGCCCTCCCACTAATTTTAGGTACGAGCCGCCACTGGTAAATCCACCCAAAGATACAGAACCTACGAGCTCTTGAAAGGGTGCAAATTTGATTAATGGTCTCAACATAAATAATGACTGGAATTCCTAACCCAGTTGCTCCAGACAACAACAGCTACCGTTCAATTGGTCAAAGTCGTCATTCTGGTCTACTATCTGCAATTAGCATCCTTCGGTATGAATTAATAATCTCTGAATCGGTCAATCATGGAGAGGACCTAAACTGTTTGGAACCTATGTTGATATGTTGGCGATATGTTAGTGAGTGGACGTGTATTAACTGATGCGTCCCTGAACTAACGCGGCTTGACATAATGAAGATTTATCGTTGAAACGGATGAGGGCACGCGCCAGGGACAAAAAAGTTCCAACTTTTTTACTGTAGTGCCGTCACGTTGGTAGAATTGCTTCCCTGTCAATTTACCGATGTATCGTTTTATGCCCTACCGATGTACTAAATTGTCAATGGGATTGTCCAGTGATTTCAACAATTTATCAACGAAACAAAATACCAATAGGTGCACTAGTGGCGTACCATTAAATAGTCATTATGTATAGGTTATGCTGTTATTTAACTGTGACTAAAAATATTTTGAGACAATTTATATAATTATAGTACAATTATAATCTACGTGTTTAATGCAGGTAAGAACTTACTGCACCGCTTAATGTATTAAATTATTTATGCAATGTACTTTCACGTCACGTAGTAATGTGACTACGAATGTAACACGAGGATATGAGAATATTTAGGGACTTTTTGTTTTCTAAATGGTAATCCGATTAAAGGGAAAGAATTAATTGTTTTTATGCGATTCTTTGGTACATAGCTATCCTGACTGCCTGCTTTAGGCAAAAACGACTCGAAATCGCGTTAAGAAAGTCAAACGAGTAAAACTTTTTGGACTTAGTTTCTGTATCAGAGCACTTTATTCTGGCTTTTTATATGGATGAGTCGTTATAACTATGTTGAGATTTAAAAAGGTTAAGGAGGAAAACTTTAATGAAAATTGACAGTGTATCGCGTCACGTACTAGTGGAATGAATGTTTGATTTTTGTTTTGGACCCATGTCCACCATGTGGGCACCACATCCACCACCCATGTGGGCAGACATGCGGGGTTCAAATGCAGGGGATTAGGAGACGGGTTCCTGTAATCTCTTTAATACCTTCGGACAATATGAACTATACACGTGTTCTGTATTTCGCCTGTGTCTGTGGAGTTTACACCGAGATTAACGACACTCCGGATCTCTCATTACCATGCGAGTAAAATGTAAATGAAAATCATAAATAACAGGTTTTTGACAGAGATTCTTGCTCAAAGTGGATACAACGCACTCTGCAAGATTAACAATCATTTTGACACCACCTTAGCAATAATTAACCCAAAACTGAATTAACCCAAAACGGAAATTTTTATGTAAATTTGAAAAATGCGATGAATTCGGTTATCTACGATTTTCAGTGATATTTTACTCACATGATTACTAAGAGGTCCAGACTCTCGTTAAGTTACGTTCTAGTCCATTTTCGGTATTAAAAATTTAAATTCTAAAGATTACAATTTATAGAATTTATTTGTTTCATCAAAATAATACCTAGTATCATTTTGGTATTGTTGCATTGTATAGTTATAAGCATGGAATGCTTCTTGTATAGAAGTTCAGTAATAAATTAAATGTCTGCGAAGAATTGTTACATAGCGCCACCGTCGCTCAGTCGTTACATTGTGGTACTATGCAGAGTGATATGGATTCTAAGGATCGCGTCGATCGAATAGCGCTGTTCCAGAAGTCATTGGCGTTGGGGTACGTTTGTAGTCTATTGAAACTTTTGGCTATATCTGAAGAAACGTGTAACAATTCTTTAGAAAAAGTTGTTAAAGTCAGTTTCTTTTTGGATTTCACAGTAGCTGGAAGTGCTTCAAGAAGTTTTGATAATAGGACAGACTTGTAACTTGATACATTTGTAAAATTATCTCTTGGCACGACTAATGGCGGATGACCAGTGAAAGTGCTGATTGTGAAGGATATACAAGACTGATCAACAGTGCTTCTGGATTTTTTAACGTCCGCCCACTAATTCTATGATATCGTGACGCGCTTTGGATTATACGGAAAGTGATATTTTTCGCGAAATGGTGAGTAGAATTCAACCTATTGTCTTGTCACGCCACAGCTGTATCAATAGCACTGTGCCCGCAATTAATCTTCGACGCGATAACCTAAAAATCATTTTGGCCTGATACACAGAAAATTAATTATTTCCTATAATTTCTTTTAATTTTAAAATATTTCACACGGTTCGAAATCTCTGCGTACGAAATTTTACCGTTAAAATTTCCTTTGGCGTTGCCCTATTGGGGAAAGACGAAAATACTAACAGAAAGGTAGGGTGAAGCAAAGAAGAAAAATAACAAAGAACCGATCGTTGACGGGAATTTTTCCGGTTATAAATTTTCCGTTCTTTCTTGTTTTTTCCCTATTGTCCTTGTTTTCTGAGAACTCGCATAAATTTTATACAATACACACACATTCTCATTGTCATGGAAATCGGAAAAGGGTTTTTTACGTTATAGATTATTATTCCGTAAATGATAACTATATCGTAGTCTCATTGTTGGAAAGAAAGAAAGGACTAACTTTGCTGGTATTAATTTTTTTTTATACAACCCCACGTAACTCCCAACGAAACGTTCAGATAAAATTTCCCTCTTTTTTTTAAATACGTGACTAGTTAATAATCTGAATCCGTATTCGTATACTGTACACGGGACTGAAAGATAATACCTTCATTGTAAATGTAGATTTATCATTTCGCGAGATTCGTCAATTTACCACCTAACACGTTTTACTCTGTTCTAACGAAAGTAAAAAATACTGTGTACCCAAGAAATTAGGTATTTTCCTTTAGGGAATCTGTCGTTGAGATTAATTATTAAGAACACGTCATGATTAAACACATTGTGATAAAGTTGACCCTTGTGGTGTATAGCGAGTTTCACTAATAGGGGTTGACAAGGGTCACAGGAACCCCAGCAACCAATTTGTCGTTTTCACCCAGAAATTTAAGGGTTCTGAATTCAAGTGTATAGTAGGAAAAAAGAGGATATCCCAACAGACTCCAGATCTTTTGCGTCAACACGGGAACATCCGATTCCGTGACAGATTTCCAATGGCTCATCAAACGATAACGTGAATGTCATGGCAGTGTTGTTAATATACTAAAGAAAAAGAAAAAAGAATTTTACCCATTGGAATTGTATAATATGCCTGATAACGACAGGCCTTCAATTTCCTACTGACAATACGTTATTACATTCAGTCATATACGTACAATGAAAAATCTCTTTTATGTATATATAAAATCGCAGTTATAATCCAGGTAAAGTACCAACATCAAAGTACTCTGTGTATAAACAAACAATTAATAATTCACTGTTCCATTTTCCAGACCTTGTACAAGCCTTTAACCTGGCAAGAATAACTTGGAAAATATTTAACGTCAATGGATCGAGCCGATTATCAATAAACAATTAGTTCGCTGGTATTGAAGTGGGTTAATGGAGAAGGTTCGAAGGACGAGAAAGGGCTGCAAGGAACGGGAAGTTGTGAAGAAGGGTATAAAGGGCCCGGAAGTAGTGGTGAGGTAAGTATAGATATAGAGGAAGATTGTGTAGTAGTAGGAGGTCTGGTGAAGGAGACGGGCTAGCGAAATGGCCATATAAATCATCAGAGTGGGAAAGCTGGCACGAAGAGGAACACCACCTGGGACTAGGATCATCAATTATGATTTTCGTGGGCATCTTCTAAGTGGCGAAACGCGATGGGCAGAGAATTGCATTTTATTCCTGATTCCTCGATACTTCATCTGAGATCTGTTCATGGCATGGTTCATTATTATTACGAATTCCAACGTGGCCCGTAATAGATTTACTGTATGTATTTTTGAAAAATGTTTGCTAATTACATTTTAACGGAAATTTACGTATCCTCTTAATTCAAGAACTCACGCGAATAATCCTCGTGTTGCCGCTTTCTCGCTCGCGCACTGTCCTTTTGCCACTTAATTAATGCAATGCGACATAGTCTGAATCAAGCCACTACACTACTATAGAAACGGCTGCATTAACATAACTCCGTGTTTCTCATTTCGTTTAAGGAATGAAAAAGTATTTTAAAAAGTATGTGTTGCTATACAAATTTTAAATCTCGTTAGACAACAGCGTATGGATATGTGATTATGCAAATTTGATTCTTTAATAAATATTGAAATAGATTAAAGACATTTGTCCTTACGCTACTATAGATATAGATACGCGTATTACATTGTATCTTTCAAGGGAGCGTCAGACGCTTTCGTTCTAATATACATATTTTATGCAAATTCCGTAATTTTTACGAAGCTAGTAGTGTAAATTATTAAAATCGACCTCGCAACAACATGGAGCGTATACAAATAATGGATTTAAAGTAGTCCGTAATACATGAAATGAAATTGCAATGAAAATATTTTCTAACGCCTAGTGGTAAACGTTGTACGAATTATACTTTAGCTACTGGTATGAAAATTCTCGAATAGAGTTGAGAACCTTCCACTGTGCTTTCTATGCTTAGCAATCTCGGGAGCCAGGTCGAGTGACCATACTCTAACATAAGTCACATCCGAACGTTCCTTACTTAACCTGGATCCATTTCCGTGTACCAATCTGTGTTCACCACAAAGATTTTACACAGCGTATAAGTACTAACTTTTCACTGCATCGTTTCTGTTATTCCATTTATGCAAGAGACCAGAGTTTAATGAATAGCAACGATAAGGATATATTGGGTTGGCATGAAAGTAATGAGACACTCTAGAAAACTCGACACATGTCCTTTTTTAAATTAATTGTTTTTGACCATATTCTAGTATGTTGTAGAACATTCTAGATACTTCCGCTCTGTGAGTATATACAATAGAATATGGTCAAAAACAATTAATTTGAAAAAGGACATGTGTAGAGTTTTCTAGAGTGTCTCATTACTTTCATGCCAACACAATATTATACGTTCAAAATAAAACTTTATTATTCTGTTCAACAGGGAACTTCTTGAATGATGATTTTGCCAAGTGACACAGTATGATTTGGAGTAGCAACGCACCTTATCTGGAATCTGAGATAATCTTGAACGAAGATGAGGGGTACCTTGTAAAAAGCACGTGCTCTATCACAGGGAATATTCTGGGTTTGTATTTTCGAAGCTTTCGGTTAGGCATCAATAGTCCTAACCAATACCAATGCTAGTACCAATATACCAATAATGTAGAAGAAGATGGCTGTTTCCTGTCGAGATTCGAATAGCAGTTCAAGTGGAGCTAAGATCTGCTGGTAGCCTCTCATATTGCGTGGAATTGCAGCTTTGTTTGACCTGCGTTCCAGATGGAACGAGAATGACAGAATCATTCTTATAGTAAATGGCAAATAGGACGCAATATCACCGCTCTCGATGATATCGATAACCGCAAGGAACATCTTTGAGGAGCAACCACTTTATTCGTGCTTGGGTATCATGGGAATTTTTATCCGATTTCTATTTTATATCGTTTCTTTTGTGGCTTTTTTACTTCTTTTTTTTCTTTCTGGACCTAGATGTTTTTCGGAATATTGCTTTAATATCGAAGATAATTATTAAGTCTACAAAATTTTATGCAGCTATGTACACTAGATAACGGATTGCTAGTCGAGTCCAGAAGTTCAATCCAGAATCAAGTTTAATAGTCCTTAAGGAGTCGTGTATCTGTCGCAATAATTATCGTAGTAATTGTAGCTTGAAATTATCCTTTTGTTTTAGACTCAGCAAACTTCGAAAATGAACGTCATACTCATTATCTGGGGTCCTCTTCGTCTGATACTGATTCCACGACGCCAGCTTGCAGTGTCTTTATTATTATTGAGAAGTTGATAAGATTCCATGGACGCTTCTTCATTCTGTTTTAATTGATAACATTGGACGAGTTTAAATGACGTTTAATTGAAACGAGTACATTTGACTATGCAGTAATTGAACTTGTACGTCTATCTTCAAAGAAACTCATGGTAAATATACGCAAAAATACATACCTCAATTCAATAGAAAGATTTGTCTAAAGCCTCATTCTAATTTAAAAAATTTAATACTTTCGCAAGTGATGAAATCAGCAAGCTATTTGCAATTGGGAAACCAGACAAAGCGACAAAAGAGAAGCGAAGAAAAATGTAAATTTAACACTTCTTCAAGGCAACACATTATTTACTCATTTAAGTTGGAGAAAGGAAGTGTTCCTCTTTACTAGACGCACAGGAAATACACGTTAAAGAGCAACTGACGAATGGTATAAAGTCTTCAGGGTGAACTTCTTCCACATTATGGGATCGACTGCCTAGTATCAGAGGCGATAAATCGCGTCGCGAAGTAAATTGATCCGTTAAAGAAAACTGTCCTAATGTAATTTAACGTGGATTCGAAAGGGATGAAGATTCTTGTCTTGGGAGGAAAGAGAAAAGTTTCCCATATGAGGGTGACGTTACGAACGGGATGGAGTTCGACAGCAGACGTAGAAGAGGGATACATTGTTGGAAGAGTATTTCCCTTAACAACCCCCTTCGCTGAATTTTATTTCAATTCTTGCTACGTTTTTTTTTTTCCAGTCTAGACGGGAAGTCGGTCATTACAATAGCGGCTTGCTACTTGCTATACTGCAATTTCTGCAATGCTCGATGCTGTATATATAGTGCATATTATTGCTGTACAACGTATCACACATGTCTACTATATTATGTATACAATAATCATACAATACTTTACAATAATGCCATCCAATCCAGATACCGGTTCGCAAGCTGATTCTGTATTGAATTGGAGTAACCAAATGAAAATGTTAATATTTTTATATTATATTTCAAGAAATTGTAAACATCGACGGGGACCATTTATAACAGCATTATCATATGACCAAAATGGAGATAGGCATATTAGTTTCACTGTACTTGACAGTGTTTAATAAGTTATTCAGTCGACAGTATGCATCACACGTGTGACACGTGTATCACACGCAAGTATTACTGAGACTTATCTCTCAATGCGAGGTATTGTAAATCCACGCTACTCCACATGCAATTTGATGTCGTTCCATGCAATGGTAAGGAGTTGACGAGGAGCGAGGGTTGCGTGACTGGAAAAGATCAGTTCATTGGTACGATTGGTTCCGTGTATACGTGACGTATCTATAATACATGCACGCCATCTCTGCTTCCTCGTGTATCATTTACAACCCCAGTACTGCCATGGTAAGTTTTGACAGATCGATCAAATCCTATTTTTATCATTCTCTGACCTTTCCATATGTATTGTTCCTGCTGCTTGTTAGCATGGAATAAAACGTATGGTGAGTACATAACATTATAGTATCATTCATCAAACCGAATATGTCAATATCATTAGGACTAATAACCATTATTACAGATCTGATAATTCTATCTTGTACTGTAACAAGATACTTATTGTAATCAAATGGAAATGTTGCCCTTAGCATACAGGATGTCTGTCAGCTACTGTAAGGAATTATGATTTATGGCATTGTTCGTTTCCATATCATAGGACGACATCTTGACCCTTTGGACTGAGACTCAAAGTTCCTTAAAATCTCAAACGAAGTGGTTCAGAGTGGTTCGGAGTGTCTCATTCATTACTGTTGAAGATGGTGCAATACAAGGAAGTAACCTCAGGAAAGTAGTGAATGGTTAGAAGTTTTTGAAGAAAGCAAAACTCGAGTGCATCTCTACACCATTGTATATTCCTTTTCATCTTAGCGTCAGTGTACAATGGTGAAAAATATAGTATCCGGTTACCTCCAGCACGTCTGAGAGACACGTAAGACATTAATGTATATTTATGTTTGAAAAGTCTCATACTGACAGTATGACTTCTCATACTGAACAATTTAAGCTTATCTCTATCACAAATGGCAACCGAATAAGGTACATATATCAGTAACGTTTTATGATACTCGGTGGTTCTTTTAGACGCACAGGTATTGTACACCCGACAGTGTCATAATCTCTTGACAGGCTTTTCTTGAGTCTCCTAACTTTCAGCGAGCGTCCCGACGGCTGAAAATAAAACAAAACGAAATTAGTTTCTATGGAGACAGGATGTCGGGCTTGGGCGTGCGATAGCGCTGTGACGTAATATCGTGTCTCAACTTCGTTGTCTGTTATTGCCATCGTGTTGCTGGTTAAATAGACGGCAGTACTAGTCTTCGTCTGCAGACGTACAAGCCGCTGTTCTTGCGGACGGTGGATCAGGAGAAATAGAGAAGTAACATAGAAATAAACCTGTATGGATAAACGAGAGTGGAATTGTTCCCAAAGGTGCCGTAAGTTTCTCTTTGTTCTTTCTTCTTTTCTGTCTGTAATTCTTTTTGCTTCTTTTTTTTTTTTTTGACAAGAATATGTAAGAAAGTTTATGAGAATGGAAAGCACCGCGAGGAACGCCAGGAGAGAGAAAAGTTTTCGCGTGCCGTATAAAAGGTACAAAAGGCACAGATGGGCACTGAGAAGCGTAAAAATTTCTTGGGTACTTCGCGCCAAGTTTCAAAGAGTACAAGAAGTACACGTAAAACTTCCTAGTTATGATGGCAGCACAATAAAGGAACTAGAAAAGTAATTATAAGAGTTTTAATTATCACGTAATAATTGTTGGCTTTTATAACCACTAGGGCTGATACAGAAACGTAGCTAAGAGGTGGATATTAAACAGTGTAATGCGAACTCATTTTGAGTCCGTGGGAAGAATCTCGTATTTTGCATTATAAGAGGGGTTACGTGAAACTTCCTTTCTTTTTACAGTAAAACATCTATTTTATTTACGCACCCTGTTCATTCGATAATTTCGTCCAATAGGAGAAAAGAATTATGAAAATTCTCCTAATCCAACTAGAATTGTATTAATCGTACAGTCTCCTTAGAGATTCTAATAATTTACGTAAGTTTATAATTTTTATACCGAGCTGTATCTTTAATAACCTTAATGTCATCTCGTTAGCGACTAATCTCGTTAGTCATTAAATTGCAGGAAAAAACTGCATTGATGGATCTAGTCGAGCATGCTTGGATTTAATGGGTACTGGCTAAACAAAGAAATTTCATTCAATCTTTACACAACTTATACAGAATGTCCAATTTTATCACGCGTGCGTCCAGCTTGCGGTTGTTAATCTTAATACAGGCTTAATTCCTGTCAGTGTTACTAGAGATACTCTGACCCTTGATTACGGTTAAGATAGTAGGGAAGTTTAGTATGACTATTTTGCGGCAATACCTGGTTACGCAGTGCGCAGCCCTTTGGGTAAAATATTCCTATAGCGATAAAGGGTTAATGAGCTGCTGCTCTTGGGGTCGTTAGCGTTTGAAACCACAATGGTTGCCTTTGTAACGAGACGGCGTGTACACTTTAGCCATTATTTTATTTTATTTATTTTACATTATTAATTACTTTTCATTTTGATTGCCTTTTCTATATTTAGACGTCATTTAACCATTTGCGAATTGGGTTCGAAGGTGGTCCCACGTTCGTGTGTATGATGTTAAAGCGTTGTGTTAAATAATTATTGAAAATTCGCACAGTAGTCCCCCATGGCTGGAGAATTCAATGGGAGATGAGATTTACGTTCCTAACCTCCCTTGGCGATGCGAGAAAATCGCGCTCGAGTACTCGCTGTGCACGATACTCAGTAATTGGATTTCTATCGTTAATTAATTCGCTTTCACTGGAGCATTGTGGGCGACATAAAAAAAATAGTACATAAAAAATGTATTCCCATTGGTCTCCGTGATAATTAATAGCTAAGTTTGTATATGACTGCTGATCCTGTCGATGCATATGAAATGGGACCGGAAGTGAGAAAGGATTGAATCTACCCTAAAGAAAGCATATAACAATTATTATTTCGCAGAATAGGGGAAATTCAGCAAAGTCAAATTACTCAACGTATATAAATAAATGTAGCTGCGCAGGAAACGCCAGGATAGAATACGGAGAAGATTCTTATGGAAAATTTATTTCAAAGCTTTCAAACAGTTTTCAGTTAGTATTGACTTTAATCTACAGAAGGGGGACTCGCTCCCTAAAGGCATCCGCTGCAATATTTTTCAACCCTCTTTCCGCTTCTCTTATCCATAGCTACATCCCTGCCATCCATTCAGTCCTGGCGTTCCTCACCACAGCGGCAGCTTCTTTGATCCAAGATTATGACGTCATCCATGAAAATCACATTCTTTCCATTTTTTTTCATCCTGTCCACTATTGATTATCTCATGGGAATAAACAATATTTTTTAAAGAGAATTCTTCACCCATGTTTATACAACTGTCACTGGACACGCGCGCGCGCGCGTGCGTTGTGTGTGTACACACACGCATATATGACACTATTGATTTTATCGTGAATTTATGTACTTTTTTTCAACGATCCCACTAGTATCGTTCAGCCTGGACTCTCTGGTAACTTCCAATAATTCACCAGATAATTTTCACGTTATACTGTCATGAAGGGGGTACGATAAATTTTCCTCTTATATCTTTCACGCGTTCCTACGTAGCCTACAGCGACTATACGTATGCGTGCACTACCTATATATATTTATATACAGAGTATGTCAACTAAGACGCACGTTTGCGATTCGCGGTGGATAATTTTGAAAATCTGATTTGCATATTTATTGATTGCGCATCGATTGTGCATATCATTGTTCGTTTAATTTCCGATCGTAAATATTAAGAATTATCTTTGCCATTTCTAATGATATCCAAAAAAGTTAAATGCAAAAGTCATAGAGCAAGAAGAAAGAGTAGAGACGAAGAAAACAAGTTTATACGAAATACTAACAAAATTGCGAATCGCATGCTCGTCGTGAAGCTGCTGCACGAAGCTAAGGCGTTCACGCTGGTATCGGAAATCTGTCGAAAAATTACCAAATTTCCAAAGCAAATATGAACGGAAATTCAACGAGCAATAATAGTATGCGCAATCAAAAAATATTCAACGGCTGCCACATCGGATTTTCAAATTCGCGCACCAATACGATCGCGATCAATTTTGAATTTTTACTATCCGCACAATTTTATTCGCGAATTTCGTCTGCTTCCCTGTTACCACCCACTGCTCGAATTAACATCATCCCCTGTAACATTCCCTGTCGACTATCTCCCAGAATTTAGTCACGTAACACGTGGGATTACATGCATAATACTCTTGCAACGTTACCACTGTCTTGTAATGAATACACATTAGCTTACAGTATATTGTGGAGACACGTGACTCTCGTAGCTACTCATCATGCCTGATAATATATTCCTTAGGAAATGTTATATACACTATACCTATATACAACAAATTAGATATAGTATGATACTTAGTCAAACCATATGGAACATTGAAATTTTCTTTAATGTATTTTTTTTTCATTGCATCCATTCTTCCCTCGGAGTATCAAAAAGTATCGATCAGTTTTGATTTGATCTTGATCAGGTGCTGTATCTACAGTACCTATTCGACAATTCACGGACATTCGATGACCACGTGTAAGTTCCTGAATCGTCTACGCTGTCCCATCCTGACTGTTCCATGTCCATAGACCTTTGCACAGGGTATGTATTATTCATAATCGTGTTCAGATGTTAAGCGAGTAGGGCGAACTTTGAATCTGTACTGATGGGGTATACGCGTGACAATTGTTACGTAATTTATATGCCTTAGCTATCACATTGGAATTTATTATAGAATTTCATAAAATAATTCAAAATACATTTTATACGACTCAATTGAGTATCAACGATACCTGGGAGATTTTATCTGTGACACTCATGATGTTTTATTATCAGTGATAAGAAAGTAGCCGGCTGACCTCAACCTATTTATTAAAATGTAACTGGGAAGCCGTATCGTTTCAAAGTGAAACTAGCGATTCCGTTTGGGGGAATTTTTGTGTGTAAAAAAATTTTAAGATGCCAGTGCGGCGAACCTCGCCATGCTTCTCATACCTTGGAACCAAATTCCTGAAATTACTAGCCTATAATGGCAGTGCTCTACTTCGAACTGGTATATGCCTGCCTGAAAACTTGTAAGCTTGCTCCTGTCCCGGATGCTGAGATCGACGAGAGCCGTAAACTGTCGGTGGAAAATTGCGAACTATGTGCCATGGCGAAAAAGCTCGGAGCGCCTCTAGCGGGCGCCGGATGTCTTTTTTTCGTTTCTTCTCCTTTACCGTGTATCCCTCCTTCCTACTTTGACTCTCCCTGAAACTTCTTCTAAGCATCGGAGCAGACTTCGTCGATGCGGTTTCGCGCGATGCTCGGTTACCAACTGGTTTCTTTTTCTTTTTCTTCGGTAGCGACACTTTTCGGGTGACTTCTGTCATTTGATCAAATTTCATGTTCCAATAGCACTTAAGCTACGTAACGTTGTCGTTTAATGAGTTTGCATAGATTTTCTTTACAGATCAAGATGATTATTTGAAACTGTCAAAGAGAATGGAAAAATGAAGCAGCTAAGAAATACGCTTGTCTGATCTGTGATGTTTGTTGTTCTGAGTGTGGACACTTGGAATTAACGGATGGGATCCTTGTAATACGTCAGACTCGTAATTCCTTTTTTCTGGTTTTCATGTTTGCTCCCATATGTTGGTACATACTCCTATACCCAGTGTAGACTGTTCATAAGAACATTGAATTCAGGTGGTCCGTAAAACAGCTAACCTGTTTTTACTTCATTCTATTCAACCGCATTCAGGCTTTCTAGACCATTCATTAATTAATACAAGAGCGACAATCGTTCAGGCAAGTCCTATCCGACTACCGGATACACATCCACAGTGCCCAAATATTATCTTGTCATGGACAAAAAATTAGAAGTCAATGACAGTCGTGTGATTTAATATCGTAGATTGTTATATAGTTAGTAAAAAAGAAAATGAAATAAAGGAAATGTAATACACTGTACAAAAGTCTATGGAGCAGTTTATCGTCATCCTCCATAAATTATATCTAAGACATTTTAATATATGTACAAAATTGACGTCTGTTGAATATTTCATGATTCGACTAATTTAATCACACAGTACTCCTTCGTCTACCGCACTGGAGCCTATTGTTCTTGAGAAGATCCTGAATTTCATTGAAGGTCCTCCTCTTGGTTTCAGGAATACAGATCAAAACGAAGACAAAGGCGAGCACGCAAGATCCCGAGAAGAAGAAATACACTGAGTGCGTGCCAAGTGCATCGCCAATGACTTGATAGAGTTTTGACACAGCAAATCCAAGAATACCGTCGGAGATGGTGACCGTGGCGCCAGCGATACCCTTAACGTTAGAGGGGAAAAGTTCGCCGATAAGAGTGTTAGGCAACGTACCCAGTCCAAACGGATAGGCCACTTGGAACAGGATGACGTCAAAGACTGGGAGTAAATTTACCACTGAGACGTCGATGCCGTGTGTTTGCAAGAGTAAATATATTCCTAGGATTAATAGGGTGAAAGCTGAACCGAGACTCGAGATCATGAGCAGGGGCCTACGGCCAGCACCTTCCACCGTCATGGTCGATAAGGTACTTGATACAAGACCAACAGCTAATACTATTATTGTAGCTATGTCAGAGTCTATACCAATGTTCGCTTCTTTAAACAGTGTTCCCAGATATTGTATAGTACTAAAACTGCCACTGAGTTGCTGGGCCCCTATCAAAACTATCACAATAACTAAGGCCTGTCGATTGTTTGGCTGTGTTAATTGAATCAATTTTTCCTTCCAGCTCTGAGAATCATCGGTGGTCTCGTTGATGTGACTTAAAATAGAATCCAACTCTTCACGTGCTTCTTCCTTGTCGGTGATGCCCTTGAAGAAGGCTATGGTCTTGATTGCTTCATCGTGACGTCCTTTAACCGCCAGGAAGTAAGGGCTCTCCGGGAACCAGATGAAAGTCGCAACGAAGATAACAGGTATGATGATCAGGATTTTGTTCAGTAGTTGAATACTAATCCAGGGTGCTATACTGCAGGTGAACAGCGAACCCGTGAACACGTTCAAAGCTATTAGTGTGCCCAGAGCGCCTCTTATGTTCATGTCAGCAACCTCAGACACGTACATAGGATTTGTCGTGTAAGATATACCGACGCCCATACCCAGGATAATCCTGGCTACGTAGAGGGACGCTACGTTCGTCGCGAAGATCACTATTATCCAACCAACGATGTAGAAGAGACTGGAGATCAGCAGAGATCGTTTTCGGCCAAAGACGTCCGCCATCCAGGCGCCAAGGAATGGGCCAATCATGGCGCCTATTACTGTCAACGAAACTATCCACGAACTTTGATCCTTATTGATTGTAACCGGCGCGTCCTTATCGTCCATCAGTCTCGAGAGACTCGTCGTAGTCCATCCGTAAACAGTACCAACAGCCACCATGGAAAGTGTTGCTGAAAGTACAAAAAACATACCCATAAAGCTTTAAGATTCTTTTTGAATTTATTGAAATCAATTGTAACCATTGTACATCGTGCATTGGCAGACCTGATATGCAGGCCATCCATTGTTTCCACTGCGTTCGCGTATTTATTTTATTCTCCATCGTAAACGAATGCACTCCGTCTGTTTTCTCTGGTGGATCGATCTGTAAACAAAGCAAAGAAACATGTAAAGCTAAAACTTCATTCTTGTGCTCTCGATAAATTGATTCCATCGTATTGTTAAATGCATTGGCATGATTGGTCGCGGGATTTACGCATGCGCGATAGATGGCGGCACGTTCGCATAACCTCCGTATAACGGATCTTTTGAATGCACAAGGAGTGTGTACAAGCACAGTGTACGACTTTCCGTAACAACAATTTTTATTAGTATGAAGACTTTTACCACCAAAGATTCCATAACTCCCGCCATTGTTAAACACTCGGTACATCTGTAAACGGCTGTCTATGAATTACACGCGGCAACGTAATCGGTATCGATCAGTGAGAATGTGCTCGCTTGGTTCGTACTAACTTGGCCGCTCGACGCATGCGCAGTAGCAACCGCAAGCGTCTTAATATTTTTACAGTTGTCTCACTCTCGGTCTTTATACAGAATTATTATTTCTATTTTATATCGTTCTGCACTCTCACTCTTATACGCAATATGTAGCTCACGCATACGTACGTCTTTAGATTTGTTATTTTTCCAACGATCGTCTCTCATTATTCATTAATCTGTACACGCGTATATTGTAAACATGACTTTAGTCAGATTCCTTCGTCGCCGCAACGAATCCTCGCCAACTTGTGAACTCCTCGCTCGTTTAGCTTCTCTATTTATTCGATAATTTTAATCGGCTTTACCAGCCACGATTGACGACCACTCGCCCAATTGACCTTAATCTTATTATTGCTAATTACACAGCACACGTTTCTTCGCCGCACATCCAATATGCAAGAAATTACTTAACGGTATTCCACCCCCGGATTACCGGCGAGAAATTCTAATCCTCCAGACACAGTGCGTATTCTCTCTAAAACGATGACGAACGTAGAAATATTTTTTCTCTGAAAAGTCCAACGAAATTTTCGTTTTTAATTTAGACCTCGCTAACCCGAATTGAACTTACCATTTAAAAAAGAGAAGCTCCTGTACTCAGCGCCGTTTTAAGATTATTCCACACTGTTAAGAAACGACCAAGCAATTTACTAAAAACAACAATCACAACACGTGGATGCTAACGAGCCCGAAGAGTAGCTCGTTCTCAACAGCGTGAGAATACACGAACTTCTTCCTATAGTTATTTCTCTTATCTCGTGCTATAGCCTCCACGCGTGGTCGGATTTCTAAAATAATCTGTTGTCACGCATCCGCGCATGCGCACTCGCCAGTTATGCATACCGGATATTATTGCATTCGAGACAGCGTTTCATCTCAATACAGTCTATCAAGATATTGGCTAGTCAGCACGCATGATCGATGATATATTTTTTGTTTGATAACGCGGTAAAACATACTCAAGTAATAGCACGACAAAGGATCAATCATATATTTTGATATCTCTACTGTTTGGCAATTTAAATCAATTCAATCAAAATATTTCTCACGAACGATATCACTACTATATATCTAAAAATGATAATCGACGAGTTATTCTGTAAAAGCGTCTAATAATTCTACCACAGGAGTTATCGCAGTTTGTGGTCTTAAGAGGTGCTATAATTATTTACGTGTATGTAAGTTCAGATACTTAGAACGTGAAAGCGGTACGATAATGCTTATCGACTTTTACTACGACATTATGTAAACCACGCGTTAATAATGTCGCCGAGGCGAGGCTCCAGACTTCAAACTTTCTGTCTAGTTTACTTGCATGCACGTATGTACATGCCTTTACACTCTACCATTTACATGCTGTATCTACTTAGGTATATATATAATGTATCTACCGCGCATTCTATTCTCGTTTCTTTGCTCTCGTGCACACGGTACCTGGTAAAATCTTGTCACGAACCACCAAGACTACGTCCACGCGATTGCCAACAGAATTCCGATTATTAAAGCGACATGCACAACGCAGATATGTGTACGACACAACGAGGTTATTGCACTTTGTATGGTTTCTGTCTTCAACACTTTTTTTCAAACGTCTTTCTAATCTTCTACCAATACCACCAGGAGTCAGTACAGTAGCCTCTGAGAGCCGTAACAATGACCAACCGAAATGTTCGTGTGTACAGATATTGCCGTTGTAAGGCGTCAAACGTAGCAGCACGTGTTTGCGACCTAACCTAAAAATGTGTTTTTACGACAAAATTAATTAACTGTTACGAGTTCTTGTATGATCGTTATACACAGTTACACATACCAGTGGGTAGACGAACACCTTGTCTTTATCTTGGTCCATTATCTCTTTCGAATATAATAACAATCGTATATGTCAATTTGGATTAATTTACTCGTATGTATGATCACTGCATTTGTACGCGATATAATGCTACTATCATTGTCGTCCAATCTTAACAAGTAATCGTAGTACCGTATCACTTTGTTAATCCCGATATTTATGATTCGTCAAGAGTAGGAAGTCGCGGTATAAATACTCAATCGTACGAAGCATGAAACGCGTGAAACTCCGACTGCGTTATTCACCAGGGAATAGACTGATGATAGACTGATTGATTGTATATAATCTGATGACCGATATTGCTGTACGTAATACTACTGTGTACGAATGTATAGACTGCTTGGCTGGCTGTGGATTATTCGAATTAATATCATTGCGCTGATACCGAATGTAAAGCGCTTATTATTATCATGAACGCTTACTAATTTACCATTGGGAGAGAATCATTTTATTCGTGTATCATCAAGCGGAATTGTGGTATCGCGCCTCGTTGAACCGCGTGAAAATTCGCACATGTCAGATAGCAGGTGTCATGTATATATGCATATATGTATGATTATTACATATAGTATATGTATAGGATACGTTGGCGTTACTAGTCTTGATTATTAGGTGGGCCAATGCGATTTCGCGGGTTGGTAAATTACGTCCTGTACATTCTGCATATGTATTCACGTTATGTATCAAATGACGTATCTGAAAACGTGATTGAATAACGCTTGTCATTTTCAATTTTAACCGCGATACCATCGCGTTTAATTTGCCCGACAGCGTTTACCCAATCTAAGAACTTTTAATCAGTCATAAACAATGCTGGTTGTTACTCTTTTTTTGATATGCGCCAATAAATCGTTAGGGTGGGTTATTGAAAAGGTTTTTTAAAAATGTGTAATTTTATGTATATACAAGCATTCGGTGGTTCTTTATGGTTTTATGGAATTCGTACTATAGATATATATATGTATATGCAAATCAAAAGGCTGATTTCTGTTGTGCGTACGATAATTACGTTATTGTCGATGTGATTAATAGGAGAGAACTGTATCATTCGTTTTTATAATTTATAATAGAAATGCTGTAAGATTTGAGTATTGCTAATTGGTTTTACAAAATTTAATTGCTAATTATTTTTTTGTTATTAAAAAATACACTGCGTGACTTCTTGGTATTAGATTAGAAACTTCGTGCCTTTAATGGTGGTTCGATGTCTCGTTTGCTTATGTTGCTCTTGGACCACCTACTGTGTATACAGTTGAGACACGAAATGGTATGAATTAGTAGCGGTTGTAATTCGTAGGAAACGTGATAAGAGATTAGAAAAAATTGCAAGGACGAAACAAAATTTATGTTAGGCTACCCATAATCATTCATTCGCATCATTATGGTTATATCTGTATGTATACTGTAAGCGCTTTTTTTTCTGAAAAATGAAAAATACGAACGGCTCAGTATTTGAACGCTGATTTTTGCACGTTTCACCAATGACTTGTTTCTTTTCGTTTCTGTACTTCTACACTATCTTGTCTACTGACTCCAAGCTCCTCCTTATCTCAATCTCTATCCACTCTTCTTTACCGACTGATATTCAACATTTGCTTCATTCTCTTTCACACACAATCCCAGTCATACCTCATCCTCGTACACATTCGTACACGTGTTTACATATCATTTATCATTTCATATTGCTAATGTATCAAAGATCTTGCAAAATGCAACGTAAGAGATGTCTCTATTTTTCAAATCGAATACTCCATAAAAATGTACAAATAGAGTCAGTAAATATTGTTATTCGCTTCAGCATAATTAATTGACACTGATAAGATATTTATTTGCAGGTCGTATGAACTTTAATATACTCTAAATGTGCTTTAATATATTCTTTGGCTCGTTACACGTGTACAAGCACTGTATATAGATATATGGACCGTTTATTTTGAAAGTGGTGTAAGTCCATTTTCTCATGTTTCGAGAAAATTAAATGTTAACATATGTGTTAATTAAAAAATTTAGGCAAATTATATGAAGTCTGGCAATGTTTCTACTGTTTTATCAATATGTAATTTGGTTATATAAATTTGTTTTAGGCGTATTTTACTGAACTGATGTATACTTACGGGCTGCAAATGGACTTACACCACTTTCAAAATAAACGGTCCATATGCTTATTGTAGGAATTTAATACAATTGTAACTGTGGATACGTGTTGAGAAACGGAAAAGCAATAATCTGTGAATAATTGAAGCATCAGCGAAAGGAAGTGATTTACGGGAGGTCGAGTTGACTAATGGAGAGTGGACAGTAAGGAATATGCTAATAAATAGTAATTCGTCAGTATTTTTCCCTAACAATGTGGGAACGAACGAAACTAATTTTTATAAGGCAAGTTCACTGCAGGACTGAAATGTGGAGAACCTAATTTTGGACTGTAATATTCCATACAATTATATGTAATTGTCTTTAAAGTACTAACCTCTATTAAACGTACCCACCACTTCAATGGTAATTGTACAGAGAGCTGTGAACTCCTATTATTGCACTATTATCTTCTTGATGGTACTTATTACCATATATTTATATGGGGAATGACCAAAAGAACGTAGTGCACGTATGATACAGAGAGACGAGTTTCAAGAACCTTTAGTAAAAATTTTTATAATTCTTCAATCTATGCAGCCATTTTGATATTTTTCAATTGGTAGTGATTCATGGTCTCTTAAGTGCTTAACTGCTAATAAAAATCTTTCAAATCTGTTTATTATATGGGTCTCATAATATTATCACAAGTTCTAAGCTAGTCATTCACATGCTGTGCTAGTATGCAGCTTTTATTTAATCCGTCAAATTAGTAGACAATTGTGTAATTAATTAGCCTACTTCACGGTTTTACACTAGAATGAAATGTTTATTAAAGCTACTGTATGACAGTAGATTTTCAATCTAGCGTGTAGTCACTTACTTTCATGAAGATATATATACTTTTTATTTTCTATTCATTACTCCTTTAACACTACAAATATTTGTATTGGAAGGTCTACGGTAATTTTCTCCATCTAAACGCTTATTGCAAAAACTATATTATCTAAAAGCATTCTCATTAGCGTGCCTGAAAATGATTACATAATATACATCACTGAGAAATTTTGGTAAGTCGACCAGTTGGAAGTAACGGCAATAGCATTGGGAAGAGGTATTGGGACATAATATTAAAAACTTCGATATTAATTAAATAAGATTTGCATTTTACAAAGCAATAAGTTACATGAAGTCCTTACACGGGCTTAAACATCTAAATTATCATAATTCTAATCATCTTTTGCGGATCATTTTATACAAATAGTCAGTGAACCCCAGTTGACAGCGTTTGACAGGCATAATGTCGTGTGATTAGGGCAAGGGTTTAAATGGGCCATCGCACGGCCTAGCAAAAAGGATCCAGCCAATGGCACCGACTGGGTCTTAATTCCCATTTATAGTATATTTATATGTATACTATATATATATATATAAACTGTACCATAAACATATTACACAAAAAAAAAATTGGCGCATACGCGCGAAGCCCGCTGAAAAGCAGAAATGGTCATCCGTGGCCAAGAATTATCATGGGTCACGTGAGCTCAAGAAAACTGGAAGACAGATTGCTGACAATCGTAAAGACGCTAGCACCAAATAAAAGAAGTCAAAGAGCGTGATAGTGCACGAAACACGTAGAAGAAAAATGGCCACGAGCAACGAGATACATTGCAGGTATAAAAGATCACTGGATAATTGTATATATATTATTATATCAGGTCAAATCCCAGCATCGAGTATACTCTTTGCCGTACGCGCATGCGCCAGATTATTCAGGTCCTTTTCTTTCTTGTCTTTGAAAATTCTGTCGTCATATGTTCGAGACAGTCATCTCGATGATATATCAGCTTGTCCATTATTCTTGGTGTATATATATTTATATTATCTGTCTAAATATTAAAAATAATACTATACTCGCGACGAACACGTACGCGCATCTTTAACGGCATCTCCGTTTACGATTCAATAATACAAAATGAAATCTACACGATTCTAAGTTCTCCAAGTTTCCTCTTTCTTTGCGTTTAAGCAAAGAACGCGCCTGAAAAGACAACAAATATCTGCGACGTCATCAATTCCGTGAGAGATATAGATCTATTTCTTCCTTGGTTGACGAGGTCCCATTATTTTTTAAGCATTCCTTTTTTTATATTTTATTCATTCATTCGCCGTTTATCTTCTCAGTTAGCTTCCTCGTCCTTGATCTCGAAATCGAGATCCTCCCGCCTTGTCGGTCAATCACTATAAAACATATAACTATGAATATCCGCGCAATATGTTCTCTGATTTTTGCGTCATTTATTTATGTAAATATATACCTGTCGCTATTGTCCGTCGTTGCTTCCTCACTGCAGTCAAGATCGAGTTCACCTTGTATCGCACTTTGTAAATCATCAATTCTTTGAAGAGCCAATCGCAGATCATCCCGAGCAATCTTTGTCTCTGCTTCAGCAGCTTCCAAAGTTTTTTCCACGTCACGACGTGCACGTGTAGCCTCATGTTCTCGTGCAGCTGCAGCACTAGCCTCATCTCGCGCTTCGCGCAAAGATCTCTGAAGACGTCGCGCAGCATCCTGCGCGTTCTGTTCCTTAGTCCTTAGCATAGCAGTTTCTGTTTGTAGCTTATCCACATTTTCCTTCAATCTGGCTATTTGTGTCTGGACAAAGTTAAAATCAAACATATACCGGTACTACCACTCTGTTAAATTTTACTGATATAGCTAATACTAGATATTAAATACTAACCTCAAGTCGCGCTCTTGTAGTTTGTTCCAGTTCAAGTTTACTTTCCAACTCTTTCGTACGAAATTCCAGACGTCTAGTCGCTAAACTATTAGCAGTTGGATCACCAAGTTGTTCCACGGATTCCAATCTCTGACTGAGTTCGGACAGTTGATCTTTCAAAGAAGATCTTTCAGCCTCGAGGGTAGCAATCTGCACCTGCGCTTCCTGAAGTTGTGACTTTTCTGTGGATACTTGTTGCACGGCAGCTCGATACTTCTTGAGCATCTATAAACCGTGGATAATATGATTAAATCAAATGTTCCTTACAAGTAGTTGTCACATTAATAATTTTTGTCAATAGTTACCTCTGCTAATTCTTCCTCATTCTCCTCCAATTGGGACCTCAGATCAGTTCGCTCTCTGCAAGCTACATTCGCACGTTCTTCAGCCTCTGATCTCAGTCGAGAAGCTTCCTCAAGACTTAACTGTGTTTCGTTCAGGTCCTGTTCCAATGCCTGTTTAGCTTTGACAGCTGCAGCTCTAGCGCATTCAGCATCTTCCAGTTGATTCTTCAGTTGGCGAAGAGCTGCCTTCCCAGCCGAATCGCCCTTGGAACGTTCTAGCATTGTCTGGGCATCTCTGAGGAGTGCTCGTGTTCTCTTGAGGTCTCTCTTAAGTCTGTATGAAACACGAAAATTATGTTAGACAGAGATTAAAGATATAGAAGAGATAATAGACTGTTTATGAAAAGTATGTTTATGTACCGTTGTGTAGTTTCAGCTTCGGCTGCACGATCAGTTCTGTCCTGTTCCTCAATAGCAACTAATCGACGTTCCAGCTCATGCTTTTCTCGAAGTAGTATCGTTCTTTCCTCATGTTCGGTTTCCAGTTGCAACTCTAAAGCTTTGACCTTCTTATGCGCGTTTCCACGAACGTCTTCAAGTTCCTCATCGCGTTGCTGCATCTCCTTTCGCATTTCTTTGCGTTGCTGTTCTATGCTCATTTCCAGTCGAAGTTTAGCTTGTTCCAAGAGTTGTACCTGACCAGCAAGGTCATCAAGTTCCTCCTCTTGGTCCTTCGTCTTCTTCTCCAGTTCATGCTTTGCTTTTTTCAACTGTGCTACTTCCTCTTCAGTTTTGCCACCGAATGTCAATTCCTCTAGTTCCTGAGTTAGTGTGTGTAGTCTCTCTTCTTTCAGTTCTATTTCCAGTCTGGCGTCCTATGCATAGAAAACGAAATTATTAATTTCATGTACATCTACAGTCTCACATTCATTGTTCAACGATACAAAAAAAATTATTATTCTTACACTCAAATTCTGCTCAACAGTGAATTTCTCAGCAATAGCAATTTCCTTCTCTCTGGCGAGTCGCTCGCGCTGAGCTTTCTCTTGTCTGAGATCATCCATAAGATTTTGAGTCTCGGAATCGAACCTACGATTGAAACAGCATCATTTTGTATTAACATAAATACTTTCCCATAGAAACTAATGAATCATATTCTCTCTTAGTCCATTACGGACATGTTTCGTTTAATTCACAATATGTCTGAGGGATGCCAGGGTTAGCGATAGTTCACCTGCGGGTTAGATGTCTGGCCGTAGGCCAAACACTTGTTGAGGAGCCTAATCAAATGAGAATAGCGCAAGCTCACTAGCTGGCAAGTGCACCCTGTACATTACAAATACGTGTACGTAAAACAAGAACCCAAAGAGTTCCCGAACGTCCAGTGTGGCCGCCACGACCGACGCCTAATCGTTAATCTTACTGTCGAAAGCTATCGTGTCAAACTGAATTTCTTTTACTCACTTGCGTTGCTTCTTCTCGAGGAGGTTATTCCTGGCGGTCTGTTCCTCAAGGAGTAATCTCAGATCATGCATCTCACCGTTCAACTTCTGAACGCGACGCTTCCACTGACCCACCACTTGTCGCTGCTCCTCGACCTCCTCGTAGGCGTCAGCTAGCTAGATATTCACAAGAGTCAATGTAAACTAGTTCCTTAACCGGATCGTGTAAAATGACCGTTAAAGAAACGGTATTTCACGTGAGGGAGGTTGCGGTGGACAAATGAAAGAGGATGCAATAAAGAGAATGCCTTTTAGCTTACCTTCTTCTCCAATTGTTTTTTCAGGCCGACCAACTGCTCTAAATCGTCCTCGTGCTGCTGGGCCATTTTTCTTTTGGTGAACTCCAACTCGCGTACGGCGTGCTCGTATCGTTGCTTATAGACGCCACCGTCCTCGCCATCCTCACCGTCTGACGCAACTCCGTTAAGATCCGCCGCTCTCGCATAAAGCAATTCCATTTCCAGTCGTTCGGTAGTCTGCTGAAGATTCTTGTTGGCGTCGGTAACGTCCTGGAGTTCACGTTCCAGACGAAGACGCTCAGAAGTCTCTGCGTCGATTCTCTCAGCTGCCAAAGTCGACGTTGAATGTTCCTCTGCGAAGTCAGCTGTCATTTCGCTTAGCTGTTACAATAAGATCGTACTGTATTATTACTTTAATCCATTTACAATATCCGTGTATTACAGGAGTTAATTTTTCTAGGTAAATCCATGATACAATAAAGCAATAAGTCAAACAATAACACGCTCGAAACGTCATCTCGCTTTCATTTGTACCTCTTCATCAGGACATTCAGACAGCGTCCTATCTTCGGACAGACGCGAAAGCGATCCCGAGGGACTTTTGGCGATGCTGTTGGCTCTACTAAAGTATTGAAAGCCCTTGATCATGATGTTGGTAGCACTGCGGCTCCTGCCAAGTGGTCGATGCTTATCATTATGCGGTAGACAAGTAAGACTTTTAATTTCCTCGGCTTCATCCCGGTGACCAAGACTCCTCCACTCGTCCATGACGTGATCAGTCCGCTGAAGGAACTGTTGAATCCTCGACGACAAATAGGACGACGCGGTCCTGGGCTCCAGATGAGCCGCAGTGGGTTTGAATGACTGTCGCACCTTTTGCTTCTCGATACCCAATACGAAGTTGAGACTGGCATCAAAAACCACAGGTGCCTGCTCGCGCGTTTCCAAATCATCAAGTTCGAGCGTGCAGCTCTCTTGAGGAAAAATTCGTCGTGGAGTCGGCGAAGTGCCGGCGTACGAATTCGAGGAACAGACGGAGGACGACCTAGCCATCCTTACGGGCGTCGAGGCGCCATGACTCCTGGAGCTCAGTGACAAACTCGGAGATGGACTTCTGCTAATGATCTTTGGACTGGCGTTTGGTTTTATAACAGCAATCTTATTCAGTGGACGAGTTTGGAAATGATTTGGAGGCAGTGGTGGTCTCCTTGACATATTTCCCATGATCCCATTGGCTAGGCTACTCGTGGACGATTTTCGTACAGGCTCGTTAGACCTGGAGGAGTCGTTGTAGATGTCGAAATTCGCTGAGGTGGCCAGGCTCGTTGGTATACGGCCGACAAATGTCGTAGGTGATAAAGGCATTGTGAATAATGATTTCTTTTACCTCAGTATCACGAACAGACAATGGATTGACAAATCATTATATTCATCCTTCGTCCGATAAGACTGCTAAGGATTTTTACGTAACACAATTTCAATCTCTTTTAAATGTATCATTGCTACCTGTCACTCACGATCAGTCTAAAGTCGATACCTATCAGTCAAAATTTCTTTGATCGTAACAATTGGTCGTCCCGCAAAAATGTTCGCAATAACAAACGTGTATTCTCTTTTTTTATTTTTTCAAAAAAAAAAAAAAGTCGCTCGTTTCGTTCGTTGCGTAACCGTGACATCCGAACGCACGAAGAGTTACGGTGCAACTGGCACCCGTCTGCGGCCACCCGGTTTATTCGGAGGTGTATCCCCAGTGGAGGAGGTGTTCACCTCCCAAGTTATTCTGAGACGAAGCGGACTGTTTTGGCCAAAGGCCAAGTTCTCTTCGATGGCGAAAAGAAGAAAAAAAAAAAGAAGTTGAAAACAGAGAGAAGAAAAAAATAAAGAAACAGTCCACTCTATACAGAAACGAAAGGAGGACACAGTGACACCGATGGATTTTCCATGTAAATCTCGCAAAAATTCACGGCGCGTCCTAATCAACACACTACACTCGTTAGCAAGTAATTTCATTTGGATGGTTTCTCTATGAATTTGGGTTAGTTAAATAACACAGCCACCACCCGTATCACTAATGTATCTATAGACGAAGTCTTATACCTAAAGCATATATCGACGTCTCCAAGTAAATTCTCAGATAGACGAATGTATGGCTTATAGCTAAACATGTCTTACATATGTAAACTAAAATTTGATTTTTGAACGTATATGTATACAAAATCCCAATAGTGTTATATGTGGCTGTTAAAATGAAAGATTATGCGACACGACTTGACGGCTGTGCGACCGAGTCAGTGGAACGTCCTGGGCGAGTTCGAGTTATGCTGTACTTTCCATATAGTGAAAAAAATAATTTTTGGTCAAAAGTGTAAAACAGGTGTCATCTCCCCAAACAGAGTTTACACAGAGATATTTCGAAACGTTTAGTAAATAAAATAGAAGCTGTGAAAGCCTCTCTTAAGGCAGACTAGACTGATGTCGCCCGTGACAGAGTTAATAATATGTACTGAATCATTAGGAGATTTCCGTTGTTTTCTTTTTGTTCTTTCATCTTCCGATGACTAAAGCTCCTCTGTAGTTTGGTCTCTCTAGTTCTTTACCTTTCTCCCTGACTTTGCTTTTTTCCTTAGTTATAGTCTACGCTAGTTCTGCGGGACTTCTGTCTCTTTGGTAATGATCCGTTTCAGCGGGAACAGGTGCGAAAGTTGTTCACAAAGGCAGAGACCAGGTTAATGTCCTGATCTCTGGATGCTGGAGACTAATTAATGCTTATAAAAATTTGGTAAAAAAGATTTAAAAAATTATCATTCTTCCTCATTGAGACGTCAATCAGGAACCGGATATATTTGTCTGACACCCATTCAATTCCAAAGCCGATAAGGTTCCTTTGGCGCAACACTTGGCCCAGGGCCAGTGTTTACTGTCCGCGTATTGATCTATTTCGAGATGACGTTACGAGCACACGGTCTTAAATGGACCAAACAAAAAAGGGTAGTTTAAGAGGAACGAAGAATAAGACGAAATAAGAAAAAAAAAGTCGAATCATCATCGTTAGTAAAGTCTCTTTATCTCTTCCTGGACTTACCTTAGCCTCGAGCTTGTCGTTATCATGTTTCAGGTGGTTGCGCTCCTGCTCCAGCCTCTCGACCTTCGCCCTGAGAATCTCGAGTTCTTCCTGCAAATCATTAAGAGAAGAATCGATTAGAGCGTTTCATTCGTGGAAGTAATCTCTCTCTCTCTCTCTCTCTCTCTCTCTCTTTCACATTTGATATCTCTCTCGCTCTTATTCGGTGCGTTTCATTCGTGGAAGTAATCGTTGCGCTCCTGCTCCAGCCTCTCGACCTTCGCCCTGAGAATCTCGAGTTCTTCCTGCAAATCATTAAGAGAAGAATCGATTAGAGCGTTTCATTCGTGGAAGTAATCTCTCTCTCTCTCTCTCTCTCTCTCTCTCTTTCACATTTGATATCTCTCTCGCTCTTATTCGGTGCTAAACCGGTAAGACGCTGGCAAGAAAACCGGCAGGGCTCGTTTCGGACCTTCTTATTCGAGTCGTAAAGCCAAACTCATTAAGTCCTCGTCCATGGCTGAATTAGTCTGGCGAGTTAATCGAGCGAATTCTCTCAAGCCTCGAATACGTTCAAAGCATAAGAGAACAGTGTGGCAGAATAAATTTATTATTGAGATCCACGCCAATGAGTCTCTTGCCAACCCGGTAACAGTCTCTTAGCTGATTCTTTGAATATAATTTAAATAACTTTTTTTAAATTTTCTTAATATCTATGCCTTTTTAGCTTTACCGTTCGCGCCTTCAATTGATCCTCCGTTCGATGAACGTTCAGCAATGGCGCCACCTTGACGTATAATCTCCACCATGGCCATTCTCGTACCGACATCAGCTTCCTTACGTTTCTCTGGATGCATCTGACTGCAAGATCTTGCAACTACGGCGAGATAAGACAGTTTTGGTCTAAATACGATTGTTCAATTACGACGGAATAATGATGGTGAATCAGACATAAAAATTTCAATTGCGACTCCCATGACTTGTAAGACGCTAACGGAAATGCACTGGGAGCCATTTACCTTGAGAGTGTTGAGTTTCCGGCGAGCAAGATAACCCCGGCAACGTGCCTGAAGTAATATAATGTGTCCCGTGAGTTTCTCATCCCTCCGTGACTCCAAACGTTCCAGAGCGCCAGATCTGAAGAAAATCTAAGCACAGAGAGGATGCTATTAGAAAAAGCAGTTTTCGAAAAACTTTGAAAAAGAAAATCAATAAAATCTTATTAAAGCTCGTTAATGCAAGGAAATTAATTATGTCAGTGGAAATACGTAGAAAGCAATTATTAATTTATCAACATATTAAAAATACCCAAATGATTTTAAGACCCCGGGCGATACAATTATCCTCTGTGTTATTTAAGATTGATTTGTGCGTGTATGCACCTGTAGTCTAGGTTTATGAGCTAGTAGAAAACAATGAAGAAAAATGACAAAATTCAAGGAAATTCAAGGAATGATAATTAAAAGTAAAAGATGGAGAATTTTGGTCTTATTTATTTCGAAATTCTTGTTTGACTACTACCAAGCCTGCCCCCTGCTCCCTTCTACCTGAGTGCGATATCGCGTAGACTTAACGGTGACCTGTTGCTGCTGTTGCTGTACAGATGTCGCTATCGGTGTGGATACCGCTTTAGGCAATGTTTTCCAACGCTCTTGAACGTTTCCACGAGAAGACTTGGAATTCTCTTCCCAGCTGTCTATGCTACTTGCGCCACTGGACGTCGAGAGACTCTTCTCTGCCGTCTTCTTTTCTTCTGGCACGTATCTCCTCACTATGGGATTCGCATCGAAAACTTCTATCGTGTGTTCCAAACTGGCATCTAGATCGTTGATGATCCCTTTTAGGAATTCCTCGCTTTTATTGAGATTCTTTAATTCCTCGTGACGTTCCTTCCATTCCGCGTCATTCTCATTGCTCATGTGTCCACTGTCTTCCGAACAATTACCATCCGATACGTATCCGCTGCTCTTCTCGTCCTTGTCCTTATCCTTCTTGCAATTTTTCGTTTGCGCTATCAACGGTGTCGCAGCATCCTTCGATTTGGTCCAGGAGTCTTGCTGAATTATCTCCTTGGTAACGGAATTTTCAGTATTCTTGCAGTTGAAGAAGTTGACGAGTTGTTCGATTTCTTTAGCTCTCTTGAGTCCGCTGTTTTTCTTGGACGTCTCGAGATCCTTGTCCGCCATAATTGCGATAGGAGTTTTCTTGGTTATGGCAACACTATCATTATGGATCTTCGATTTGCTGGAAACCCTATTTCTTGTCTCGGGCGTCGCTTGCTCTTGCGACTTCTTTATCTGGTTTTCCCAATTCCTTCTGATCTCCTGAATACTCATTTCCGGCTCTTTGCGCAAGAGACTCTCGTGGCTCTTTGCAAATACCCGGCTCCTCTCCAGCGTCTCTTGACTCTTTGTCAGACTCTCTTTGCTCCTGGCCAACTCCTCTCTGCTCCTGTCCAAATTCTCTTTACTCCTCGAAAGTATTTCGCGGCTTCTAACAAGATTCTCACGGCAAGCATTAAGATCGATTCTCGTTACCACTTCTTTAGGCTTCTCAAGATCCTCTTCCAATTCCGCCATCAATAATTGAGCTTGCTTCTCCAGATCGGAGCAGCTGAGAATTTCCAGTGGAACCGATTTAGTCCTAGTCACTTCCTTCTTTTTTATTTCTACCACGAGACTTTTACTTTCCCGAACCTGTCTGTCTTTCAGATTCTCATAAATCGGCACGGTCTCCTCCATCTTCGCAATGGGCTCCTTACAATTCTCATAAATATGCTCATCCATCGATCGATCAACTTCATCACGCTCACCATCGCGATGCTTCTCAACGCTACGATCTACCTGAGATAGATCAGCGAGAGATAACGCGCTGGCAGATTTCCCCGAAAAATGATGTGTGAGCAATGGAATACGACTTGGTCTCAGACCGGAAGTTGATTTGGTCCTAGCCATCCTGCCATTGGCATTAGGATCGCAAGGGACGCTCCAAAGACTGGTGGTCCTGTTCAATCCGGATTTCTGATCTCTTCCATTGACCTTAGTATCTTTACGTTCACTAACAGCCAGACGATTCTTCGAATTATCAGAGTCTGCAGGAACGTTCCATAAGCTCATGGAACGATTGAGACTCTTTTTACCGCGCAGAGGATCCGGTTTCCTGGGAATCTTATCCGGCGCCGAATTCAAACCTTTCTTGAGCAAAGCTCGATCTTCTAGGATGGTGCACGAGGATCCTTCCTTCGTTTTCCTTTTAAAGTCATTCTTACTCACCGCGATGACCTTACCGCTATGTCTACCAGTGTCACCAAGCTGTCTCGACCTGGTCACCGCTGATGACTTGCTCGCGACGATGGGACTCGTGTCGCTTTCCAAGCCGGAAATTTGCACAACAGTCACGTTCCCACCGGCCGACTTCGTCGCGCGCGTCGCTCTCGTATTTGTCGTCCTGCTTACGCCGATTGAATTCTGTCGTTTGCTGCCGATCGATTTCTCCTCGGACTTGTTGACAGTTGACTGTCTAACGTTCGAGCCGGATGCTGACAATTGTTTAGCAATGTTCGGACTGCTGCGTGCCTTTGCCAGTCTCTGCGTTACGCTCGGCGACCACTGCGGATTGTTATAGAACTTCTGCAGACCGGTTCCCGTCTTCGTGGTACCCTTCGCCGACGACATGGTTACCGTTAGGGCGCAAAAGCTTTCAGCAGGTTCACTTCAAAGACGTATAAAGTTCCTTACTCGATTCTCCACCTCGTGGCTCGATTACTCCAATTATCCGTCAACCTCTCCCAATCGTATCTTCTTCGCTCCGGCCAATCCCGATCGTACGCATCTCAACGATATACTTTCTGCCACTTAAATTATTCCCTTCAGATCTCATACACTCGTCGACCTATTCGCTGTCCATTCAAAGACTTGCTTCGATATCAGAAATTTCATATGACATTTAATAGGGAGGCTATCGTAACGACGGATAAGGTTCACTCGTAACGATGATACGGAATCGAGTTATACGTTGTTTCTGTACGGTAGCGTCTCAACTGGCACAGCCCAAGACCGTCAATAAACCAGCGCCGAAGCTTTCACTCGTAAGGAAATCTCAGTGCGGAGCCAAGTCTACAATTTTTCACGGACTATACGCAATCTCATGAATCCGGCACTTCGTTACCATTCAAGAATATTATCAGCTATCGAACGGGGCACCTGTTGCCCGATACATTCCGATTGTACCGTTAGCGATTATAAATCCGCAGCTCGTAGTCATGCGTCCTTAAACTTGCTCGTGCCACGTCAATCGATCGATATAAATCGATAAGGTCGATTCTCGAAAATATTCAGCGACGACGAATAATCACTGAATTTTCTTTCCTGGATTCTTATTTTTTTGCCAACAGCAAATTACACTTTTAATTAATTTTCGTATGGGAATTTTTTTTTTTACTTTTTCTTACAGTTCCTTACAGAATGGCGAATCGTGTAAAATCACTTAATTTTATCATTTATTTATTTCACCAGTTCGCGTCCCTCGACGGGGGTCGCTTTGGTACACCTCAAGGTATCTTTTTTCAATGTGACTCTTGGACGGTCAGAACGTCTGATTGGTCTCGGGTCACGGATGCGATCCTCGATCCTGGCGGCGAGCGAGACCAAGGAGGACTGAACGCATTGGAGCACCTCTTGGATTTTCAGGGAGCTCGGGTGTCAGGTGCGCTTCTCGTTCCCCACTTGAGCGCGGTGTGCTCCGAGCAAGAAGAAGGAGAGTCAGTAAGAAGAAGGGAAGTTCGTCTTCGCGAGTAAGCACGCTAAGCACACACCGATGGAGAAAGGGGAACCACTATAGGGAGATGGTTAACACACTGAGATTCAGGTAAGACCTGTAAGCCACCTGACTGCACGTAAGAAGATTTACGTAAGTGTGCACCGGGTACTGTTTCTATACGTTATGTCTACATATACAGGATAGATAGTCGTAATCCCATGTCCACGCGACTGCCGGATCGACACAACCAGTCTGGGTTAACTCCGAACTCTTATCTCTTTATTTTCAGTCCTCTTCCTCTCTTCTTCTGATTCTTCTTATACGTTGCCTCCTACCACGTCGATTCTACTTCACTTCGAACCTCCTACCTACACCGACTTCTCATCCGCTTCTTTTCTTTTTTTTACTCCGCCGACTTATACCCGACTGCAGCAGCCCGCGGAGTCGAGATCGGTTAAAAGTATAGCCTGCACTGTTAAAACCGGCCCAATGCAGCAAGGCCACTTTTACCGTTCCTGAAGAAGCACAACCACGATTTCTCGTGTACAAGGTCTAGGTGTGGGCTGTGAGAATAAAGATTATGGTAGGCACTTCGAGAATTATATATGGATAATGGATGATGGAGACTCCACGTGTCTGCCTGGTGCAGGTAGAGCTTTATTTACCGGATTTATATGGAGTACCGGATGATGCGACCAGGGAGGAAGAATGGCTTCAGGATCAGGTAGACAGGTGCAGGACGATAGGATCCATCAGTAGGTAGAGACCTTAAGACCAGTCTACCGTGTACCACCTGGTGCACGTGTTCTTCCGCATCAGGGAGACGGAAACTGAGCTGGTCCTTCCTTCCGTAAGACGTTATATAAAATGCTAATGGCCATCGAAGATCGATCGGTTTACCGATCGAAAGGAACCGAAGAACCACTTTGCTGTAAGTATGGAGAAAGTCTCATCAGTCCCGGTTCCATGACGGCCTGAGGCTATCAGTGCTTTCGCCATTAAAAATGTCTGTTGGCAAAACCATCCTCTTCTTCGGATGGGCCACATACGCGATATCCTCCTTGCATTGGTCCACCTACGTGTGTACCAAGCGTATAGACACTTTGCACATATATGGGCGTCTTGTATCCATGGCCTCGACACGCGTGCAGTAGTTCCGCGAACGTCGAGGCAAGAGAAATGGGCGCTTGTCGAAAAAAAAAAAAAAAAAAATCTTAAAGGCGCGTCTTATTGGTACGCCTCCGGGAATATTTCAATGTCTTGGACGATCATTGAGAATTGAAAAAAAAATTTTAGAATCACTTTCACTCGGTTCAGGATAAAACTTTTATTAATTCTCTTGAACCGTTGGGTCAGACGTAGAAAAAAAGTTTGACACGTGGACCCGGAA